TCCACTCCCACCGCCTCCACCCCCACCTCCTCCGCCGCCACCCCCACCCCTGCCCCCCTTGTTCCTGCGGCGCCCGCTCGAAGCAGACGCGGTCCCGACCTTCTCAGCACCAAGAAGGTCGACAGCAGCAGCAGAGGCGACAGAGGGGAGGAGGGGGGAAGGGGAACACCCCTCAAAGAACGGGGTGCGGGGGTCGCCACGAGAGGTGCCTACAGCGACGATGCTCGCCTCAGCTGCAAGCAGTTCCTTCTCGAGGAGGGCAACAGTGAGCTCAGTGGGGGAGCGAGAGAGGAAGTGGTCCCTGACTGCGCGCAGAGAGTCAGGGAGGCGGGTGACGATGTGGTAGAGAGTGATCCAGAGCGGGGGGGGGTTGCTAGTGAGAAACTCGGCAGGCATAGCAGCGCGAAAGCGGGCCTCACTAGTCTTAAGGTGGGTGATGAGGTCTGCGACAGTGTGAAAGGAGGCTAGGTCGGGGAACAGGTAGGGGAGAGTGAGGCGGCCTAGCGTGGCAGAAGCGGGTGAGGAGTAGCGGGCAACTACAGCGGTATAGAGGTCCTTAGCAGTCTTGCACTGGCCGAAGTGCTCGCGCTCGTCTAGCGGCAGGGAGTTGCGAATAGCAAAGCGAGCGTGCGCATCACGGGTCTGCCACTGGGAACGCAGAGTGCTGTCAGCAGACGAGTCAGGGGCAGTGGCATGGCCTAGGGCGTGGTCGTACAGTGAGATATCTTCCTTGGCAGTGAGCTGTAGGAACAGGTGCAGGTCATCTAGCCAGGTTTCAAACTTCACTGGACGGCCCTCGGCATCGAAAGCTAGAACGGGAGGACTAGCCATAGTGACAGTAGCAGTAGTAGTAGTGGCAGTAGTAACAGTAGTAGTAGGAATCAGGCCGCTGGAAAGGTGTGCGGAGGGTCAACGGGGCCGGCGGGGCCGCTAGGTAAGGCGCGGGCGGGGTCGACTGTCCGTAGTGGCACACGAGCGGCAGTAGTAGGTAGCGTGGCAGCAGGAGCTGCAACGGCGCACTGGTGGCAGCTGCAGTGGCAGCAGTGTGCGCGGTAGGTAGAAAATAAACAACAGTGAGAGCGAGTGCCTCGCGGGCGGCGGCTGCAGCGGCGCACGGGCAGCGGCAGCGCACGGGCAGCGGCAGCGCACGGGCAGCGGCAGCGTAGGGGCAGCGACGGCGCACGGGCAGCGGCGGCGCACAGGCAGCGGCGGCGCTCGGGAGGCAGCGGTGCGCAAGCAGCAGCGGAAGCAGCGGCGTACGAGCGGCTGCGGGCAGCGGGGCGTGCGCGAGCAGGCGACGGGCGGCTGCGGGGCGTGCGCGAGCAGGCGACGGGCGGCTGCGGGCGGGCGGCCGCTGCGACGGCGGGCTGCGGGCCTGCGGGGCGTGCGCGAGCAGGCGACGGGCGGCTGCGGGGCGTGCGCGAGCAGGCTACGAGCGGCTGCGGGGCGTGCGCTAGCAGGCGACGGGCGGCTGCGGGGCGTGCACGAGCAGGCGACGGGCGGCTGCGGGGCGTGCGCGAGCAGGCGACGAGCGGCTGCGGGGCGTGCGCGAGTAGGCGACGGGCCGCGCGCGAGGGAAATAAGGCGCGCGCGGGCAGCAGGCGGGGCGCACGTATGAAAACGACCGCGCGCGAGCGGCTAAGGGGCGGCGCGACGGGGCCTTAAGGGGCGGGTCGCGGGTCGCGGGATATAGGGGCCGTTAAAAAAAAAAAAAAAAAAAGTCGAGGCGCCCTAGGTAGGTAGGTAGGTAGGTAGGGAACGGTGGGCCCTTAAAAAAAAAAACGGTCCTAACGAAGGACCTGCTCTGAAACCATGTCAACGAGAACGGACTGGAATGATGAACTAGCAAGGATTGTGAGTACAAATATGAAACCCTAATGTTGTGACCCCCCTATAGGCTAACCCACTACAGCCTACACAAATACAACATGTATAATGTTTGACATTTTCCGTCGTGGAGCTCCGTGACCAATCGTTCTCGCTTCACTCCCTCGCACTTTCCAGCATAATTGCAGGTCCGTGAACTCACGAATGGCGTCTTCACGTTGAAGAAAAACGCTCGTTTCGGGCGTTTGTAGCCCCGAGACGCGAAAACAGCCGCACCGATACAGGTCATGGAGCAGGCAATTTTCCGTCGTGGAGCTCCGTGACAAATCGTTCTCGCTTCACTCCCTGACAATTTCCAGCATAATCGCAGGTCCGTGAACTCACGAATGACGTCTTCACATTGAAGAAAAACGCTCGTTTCGGGCGTTTGTAGCCCCGAGACGCGAAAACAGCCGCACCGATACAGGTCATGGAGCAGACAATTTTCCGTCGTGGAGCTCCGTGACCAATCGTTCTCGCTTCACTCCCTGGCACTTTCCAGCATAATCGCAGGTCCGTGAACTCACGAATGACGTCTTTACGTTGCAGAAAAACGCTCGGAACGAGCGCTTCCACCCCCAAAGCGTGGAAGGATCCGCACGCGTGCAGGAAGTGCAGCGGGCGCTCTTCATTCGCGAGCGCCGACGACCGATGATGCTCGCAACCCTCCCACGCCCTTGCTGGCTTGGCAAGAGGACCACACAAGCGCATCAACGTGACCCGACGGAAGAAAAACGCTCGGAACGAGCGCTTCCACACCCAAAACGCGGGAGGATCCGCACGCGTGCAGGAAGTGCAGCGGGCGCTCTTCATTCGCGAGCGCCGACGACCGATGATGCTCGCAACCTTCCTTTGTCCTTGTTGGCTTGGCAAGAGGACCAGACAAGCGCAGCCACGTGACCCGACGGAAGAAAAACGTTCGGAACGAGCGCACCGATACAGGTCACGTAGCAGGCATTTTTCGGTCGTAGAGCTCCGTGACCAATCGTTCTCGCTTTACTCCCGGGCACTTTCCAGCATAATCGCATGTCCGTGGAGTCACGAATGACGTCTTCTGTTGAAGGAAAACGCTCGTTTCAGGCGTTTGTAGCCCCGAGACGCGAAAACAGCCGCACCGATACAGGTCATGGAGCAGGCAATTTTCCGTCGTGGAGCTCCGTGACCAGTCGTTCTTGCTTCACTCCCTGGCACTTTCCGGCATCATCGCAGGTCCGTGAACTCACGAATGACGTCTTCACGTTGAAGAAAAACGCTCGTTTTGGGCGTTTGTAGCCCCGAGACGCGAAAACAGCCGCACCGATACAGGTCATGGAGCAGGCAATTTTCCGTCGTGGAGCTCCGTGACCAATCGTTCTCGCTTCACTCCCTGGCACTTTCCAGCATAATCGCAGGTCCGTGAACTCACGAATGACGTCTTTACGTTGCAGAAAAACGCTCGGAACGAGCACTTCCACCCCCAAAACGCGGAAGGATCCGCACGCGTGCAGGAAGTGAAGTGGACACTCTTCATTCGTGAGCATCGACGACTGATGATGCTCGCAACCCTCCCACGCCCTTGCTGGCTTGGCAAAAGGACCAGACAAGCGCAGCCACGTGACCCGGCGGAAGAAAAACGCTCGGAACGAGCACTTCCACCCCCAAAACGCGGAAGGATCCGCACGCATGCAGTAAGTGCAGCGGGCGCTCTTCATTCGCGAGCGCCGACGACCGATGATGCTCGCAACCCTCCCACGCCCTTGCTGGCTTGGCAAGAGGACCAGTCAAGCGCAGCCACACGACCCGACAGAAGAAAAACGCTCGGAACGAGCGCTTCCACACCCAAAACGCGGGAGGATCCGCACGCGTGCAGGAAGTGCAGCGGGCGCTCTTCATTCGCGAGCGCCGACGACCGATGATGCTCGCAACCCTCCCACGCCCTTGCTGGCTTGGCAAGAGGACCAGACAAGCACAGCCACGTGACCCGACGGAAGAAAAACGTTCGGAACGAGCGCACCGATACAGGTCACGGAGCAGGCAATTTTCCGTCGTGGAGCTCCGTGACCAATCGTTCTCGCTTCACTCCCTGGCACTTTCCAACATAATAGCAGGACGGTGAACTCACGAATGACGTCTTCACGTTGAAGGAAAACGCTCGTTTCAGGCGTTTGTAGCCCCGAGACGCGAAAACAGCCGCACCGATACAGGTCATGGAGTAGGCAATTTTCCGTCGTGGAGCTCCGTGACCAATCGTTCTTGCTTCACTTTAAAGCACTTTCTAGCACAATTGGAGGTCCGTAAACTCACAAATGACGTCTTCACGTTGAAGAAAATTGCTCGTTTTGGGCGCTTGTAGCCCCGAGACGCGAAAACAGCCGCACCAATACAGGTCATGGAGTAGGCAATTTTCCGTCGTGGAGCTCCGTGACCAATCGTTCTCGCTTCACTCCCTGGCACTTTCCAGCATAATCGCAGGTCCGTGAACTCACGAATGACGTCTTCACATTGAAGAAAAACGCTCGTTTCGGGCGTTTGTAGCCCCGAGACGCGAAAACAGCCGCACCGATACAAGTCATGGAGCAGGCAATTTTCCGTCGTGGAGCTCCGTGACCAATCGTTCTCGCTTCACTCCCTGGCACTTTCCAGCATAATCGCAGGTCCGTGAACTCACGAATGACGTCTTCACATTGAAGAAAAACGCTCGTTTCGGGCGTTTGTAGCCCCGAGACGCGAAAACAGCCACACCGATACAAGTCATGGAGCAGGCAATTTTCCGTCGTGGAGCTCCGTGACCAATCGTTCTCGCTTCACTCCCTGGCACTTTCCAGCATAATCGCAGGTCCGTGAACTCACGAATGACGTCTTTACGTTGCAGAAAAACGCTCGGAACGAGCATTTCCATCCCCAAAACGCGGAAGGATCCGCACGCGTGCAGGAAGTGCAGCGGACGCTCTTCATTCGCAAGCGTGGACGACCGATGATGCTCGCAACCCTCCCACGCCCTTGCTGGCTTAGCAAGAGGACCAGACAAGCACAGCCACGTGACCCGGCATAAGAAAAACGCTCGGAACGAGCAATTCCACCCCCAAAACGCGGGAGGATCCGCACGCGTGCAGGAAGTGCAGCAGGCGATCTTCTTTCGCGAGCGCCGATGACTGATGATGCTCGCAACCCTCCCACGCCCTTACTGGCTTGGCAAGAGGACCAGACAAGCGCAGCCACGTGACCCGACGGAAGAAAAACGTTCGGAAGGAGCGCACCGATACAGGTCATGGAGCAGGCAATTTTCTGTCGTGGAGCTCCGTGACCAATCGTTCTCGCTTTACTCCCGGGCACTTTCCAGCATAATCGCAGGTCCGTGAACTCACGAATGACGTCTTTACGTTGTGGAAGAAAAACGCTCGGAACGAGCGCTTCCACCCCCAAAACGCGGAAGGATCCGCACACGTGCAGGAAGTGCAGCGGACGCTCTTCATTCGCAAGCATCGACGACCGATGATGCTCGCAACCCTCCCACGCCCTTGCTGGCTTGGCAAGAGAACCAGACAAGCACAGCCACGTGACCGGGCGTAAGAAAAACGCTCCGAACGAGCGCACCGATACAGGTTACAGAGCAGGCAATTTTCCGTCGTGGAGCTCCCTGACCAATCGTTCTCGCTTTACTCCCGGGCACTTTCCAGCATAATCGCAGGTTTGCAAACTCACGAATGACGTCTTCACGTTGAAGGAAAATGCTCGTTTCATGCGATTGTAGCCCCGAGACGCGAAAACAGCCGCACCGATACAGGTCATGGAGTAGGCAATTTTCCGTCGTGGAGCTCCGTGACCAATCGTTCTCGCTTCACTCCCTGGCACTTTCCAGCATAATCGCAGGTCCGTGAACTCACGAATGGCGTCCTAACATTCAAGAAAAACGCTCGTTTTGGGCGTTTGTAGCCCCGAGACGCGAAAACAGCCGCACCGATACAAGTCATGGAGCAGGCAATTTTCCGTCGTAGAGCTCCATGACCAATCGTTCTCGCTTCACTCCCTGGCACTTTCCAGCATAATCGCAGGTCCGTGAACTTACGAATGACGTCTTCACATCGAAGAAATCGCTCGTTTCGGGCGTTTGTAGCCCCGAGACGCGAAAACAGTCGCACCGATACAGGTCATGGAGTAGGCAATTTTCCGTCGTGGAGCTCCGTGACCAATCGTTCTCGCTTCACTCCCTGGCACTTTCCAGCATAATCGCAGGTCCGTGAACTCACGAATGACGTCTTTACGTTGTGGAAGAAAAACGCTCGGAACGAGCGCTTCCACCCCCAAAACGCGGAAGGATCCGCACGCATGCAGTAAGTGCAGCGGGCGCTCTTCATTCGCGAGCGCCGACGACCGATGATGCTTGCAACCCTCCCACGCCCTTGCTGGCTTGGCAAGAGGACCAGACAAGCATTGCCACGTGACCCGGCGTAAGAAAAACACTCGGAACGAGCATTTCCACCCCCAAAACGAGGAAGGATCCGCACGCATGCAGTAAGTGCAGCGGGCGCTCTTCATTCGCGAGCGCCGACGACCGATGATGCTCGCAACCCTCCCACGCCCTTGCTGGCTTGGAAAGAGGACCAGACAAGCGCAGCCACATGACCCGACGGAGGAAAAATGCTCGGAACGAGCGCACCGATACAGGTCACGGAGCAGGCAATTTTCCGTCGTGGAGCTCCGTGACCAATCGTTCTCGCTTTACTCCTGAGCACTTTCCAGCATAATCCCGGGTCCGTGAACTCACGAATGACGTCTTCACGTTGAAGAAAAACGCTCGTTTCAGGCGTTTGTAGCCCCGAGACGCGAAAACAGCCGCACCGATACAGGTCATGGAGCAGGCAATTTTCCGTCGTGGAGCTCCGTGACCAATCGTTCTTGCTTCACTCTCAAGGCTTCACACTCAAGCACATTCCAGCACAATTGGAGGTCCGTAAACTCACAAATGACGTCTTCACGTTGAAGAAAATTGCTCGTTTTGGGCGCTTGTAGCCCCGAGACGCGAAAACAGCCGCACCGATACAGGTCATGGAGCAGGCAATTTTCCGTCGTGGAGCTCCATGACCAATCATTCTCGGTTCACTCCCTAGCACTTTCCAGCATAATCGCAGGTCCGTGAACTCACGAATGACGTCTTTGCGTTGCAGAAAAACGCTTGGAACGAGCGCTTCCACCCCCAAAACGCGGAAGGATCCGCACGCGTGCAGAAAGTGAAGCGGACGCTCTTCATTCGCGAGCGCCGACGACCGATGATGCTCGCAACCCTCCCACGCCCTTGGTGGCTTGGCAAGAGGACCAGACAAGCGCAGCCACGTGACCCGGCGGAAGAAAAACGCTCGGAACGAGCACTTCCACCCCCAAAACGCGGAAGGATCCGCACGCATGCAGTAAGTGCAGCGGGCGCTCTTCATTCGCGAGCGCCGATGACCGATGATGCTCGCAACTCTCCCACGCCCTTGCTGGCTTAGCAAGAGGACCAGACAAGCGCAGCCACATGACCCGACGGAAGAAAAACGCTCGGAACGAGCGCTTCCACACCCAAAACGCGGGAGGATCCGCACGCGTGCAGGAAGTGCAGCGGGCGCTCTTCATTCGCGAGCGCCGACGACCGATGATGCTCGCAACCCTCCCACGCCCTTGCTGGCTTGGCAAGAGGATCAGACAAGCGCAGCCACGTGACGCGGCGTAAGAAAAACGCTCGGAACGAGCACTTCCACCCCCAAAACGCGGAAGGATCCGCACGCATGCAGTAAGTGCAGCGGGCGCTCTTCATTCGCGAGCGCCGACGACCGATGATGCTCGCAACCCTCCCATGCCCTTGCTGGCTTGGCAAGAGGACCAGACAAGCGCAGCCACATGATCTGACGGAAGAAAAACGCTCGGAACGAGCGCTTCCACACCCAAAACGCGGGAGGATCCGCACGCGTGCAGGAAGTGCAGCGGGCGCTCTTCATTCGCGAGCGCCGACGACCGATGATGCTCGCAACCCTCCCACGCCCTTGCTGGCTTGGCAAGAGGACCAGACAAGCGCAACCACGTGACCCGACGGAAGAAAAACGTTCGGAACGAGCGCACCGATACAGGTCACGGAGCAGGCAATTTTCCGTCGTGGAGCTCCGTGACCAATCGTTCTCGCTTTACTCCTGAGCACTTTCCAGCATAATCGCAGGTCCGTAAACTCACGAATGACGTCTTCACGTTGAAGGAAAACGCTCGTTTCAGGCGTTTGTAGCCCCGAGACGCGAAAACAGCCGCACCGATACAGGTCATGGAGCAGGCAATTTTCCGTCGTGGAGCTCTGTGACCAATTGTTCTTGCTTCACTCTCAAGCACTTTCCAGCACAATTGGATGTCCGTAAACTCACAATCACGTCTTCACGTTCAAGAAAATTGCTCGTTTTTTGCGCTTGTAGCCCCGAGACGCGAAAACAGTCGCACCTACCAATACAGGTCATGGAGTAGGCAATTTTCCGTCGTGGAGCTCCGTGACCAATCGTTCTCGCTTCACTCCCGGGCACTTTCCAGCATAATCGCAGGTCCGTGAACTCACGAATGACGTCTTCACGTTGAAGAAAAACGCTCGTTTTGGGCGTTTGTAGCCCCGAGACGCGAAAACAGCCGCACCGATACAGGTTATGGAGCAGGCAATTTTCCGTCGTGGAGCTCCGTGACCAATCGTTCTCGCTTCACTCCCGGGAACTTTCCAGCAAAATCGCAGGTCCGTGATCTCATAAATGACGTCTTCACATTGAAGAAAAACGCTCGTTTCGGGCGTTTGTAGCCCCGAGACGCGAAAACAGCCGCACCGGTACAGGTCATGGAGTAGGCAATTTTCCGTCGTGGAGCTCCGTGACCAATCGTTCTCGCTTCACTCCCGGGCACTTTTCAGCATAATCGCGGTCCGTGAACTTATGATTGGCGTCTTCACATTGAAGAAAAACGCTCGTTTCGGGCGTTTGTGGCCCCGAGACGCGAAAACAGCCGCACCGGTACAGGTCATGGAGCAGGCAATTTTCCGTCGTGGAGCTCCGTGACCAATCGTTCTCGCTTCACTCCCAAGAGCTTTCCATCATAATCGCAGGTCCGTGTTTTCATGAATGACGTCTTCACATTGAAGAAAAACGCTGACGCGAAACAGACGCACTGGTACAGGTCGTGGAGCGAGCAGGCAATTTTCCGTCGTGGAGCTCCGTAACCAATCGTTCTCTCTTCACTCACGAGCACTTTCCAGCATTATTGCAAGTCCGTGAACTCACGAATGACGTCTTCACGTTGAAGAAAAACGCTCGTTTCGGGCGTTTGTAGCCTTGAGACGCAAAAACCGGTACAGGTCATGGAGTATGCAATTTTTAGTCGTGGAGCTCCGTGACCAATCGTTCTCGCTTCACTCCCGGGCACTTTCCAGCATAATCGCAGGTCCGTGAACTCACGAATGGCGTCTTCACATTGAAAAAAAACGCTAGTTTCTGGCGTTTGTGGCCCCAAGACGAGAAAACGGCCGCACCAGGTCATAAAGCAAACAATTTTCCGTCGTGGAGCTCCGTGACCAATCGTTCTCGCTTCACTCTCAGGAACTTTACGGCATAATCGCAGGTCCGTGAACTCACGAATGACATTGTCACGTTGAAGAAAAACGCTCGTTTTGGGCGTTTGTGGCCCCGAGACGCGAAAACAGCCGCACCGGTACAGGTCATGGAGCAGGCAATTTTCCGTCGTGGAGCTCCGTGACCAATCGTTCTTGCTTCACTCTCAGGCACTTTGCAGCATAATCGCAGGTCTGTGATCTCATGAATGACGTCTTCATGTTGAAGAAAGACGCTCGTTTCGGGCATTTGTAGCCCCGAGACGCGAAAATCGGTACAGGTCGTGGAGCAGGAAATATTCTGTCGTGGAGCTCCGTGACCAATCGTTCTCGCTTCATTCTCAGGCACTTCTCAGCATAATTGCAAGTCCGTAATCTCATGAATGACGTATTCACATTGAAGAAAAACGATAGTTTCTGGCATTTATAGCCCCGAGACGCAAAAACAGCCGCACAGGTCATGGAGCAGGCAATTTTCCGTCGTGTAGCTCCGTGACCAATCGTTCTCTCTTCACTCCCGAGCACTTTCCAGCATAATTGCAGGTCCGTGAACTCACAAATGACGTCTTCACGTTGAATAAAAACGCTTGTTTCGGGCGTTTGTGGCGGTATAGGTCATGGAGCAGGCAATTTTCCGTCGTGGAGCTCCATGACCAATCGTTCTCGCTTCACTCCCGGGCACTTTCCAGCATAATCAAAGGTCCGTGAACTCACGAATGGCATCTTCACATTGAAGAAAAACGCTCGTTTCGGGCGTTTGTGGCCCCGAGACGCGAAAACAGCCGCACCAGTACAGGTCATAAAGTAGACAATTTTCCGTCGTGGAGCTCCGTGACCAATCGTTCTCGCTTCACTCCCGAGAACTTTCCAGCATAATTGCAGGTCCGTGAACTCACGAATGATGTCGTCATGTTGAAGAAAAACGCTCGTTTCGGGCGTTTGTGGCCCCGAGACGCGAAAACAGCCGCACCGGTACAAGTCATGGAGCAGGCAATTTTCCGTCGTGGAGCTCCGTGACCAATCGTTCTCGCTTCACTCTCGGGCACTTTGCAGCATAATCGCAGGTCTGTGATCTCATAAATGACGTCTTCACATTGAAGAAAAACGCTCGTTTCGGGCGTTTGTAGCCCCGAGACGCGAAAACAGCTACACTGGTAGAGGTCGTGGAGCAGACAATTTTCCGTCGTGGAGTTCCGTCACCAATCATTCTCTCTTCACTCCCGAGCACTTTTCAGCATAATTGTAGGTCTGTGAACTCACGAATGACGTCTTCATGTTGAAGAAAGACGCTCGTTTCGGGCATTTGTAGCCCCGAGACGCGAAAATCGGTACAGGTCGTGGAGCAGGCAATATTCTGTCGTGGAGCTCCGTGACCAATCGTTCTCGCTTCACTCTCGGGCACTTCTCAGCATAATTGCAGGTCCGTGATCTCATGAATGACGTATTCACATTGAAGAAAAACGATAGTTTCTGGCATTTATAGCACTGAGACGCAAAAAAACAGCCGCACATGTCGTGGAGCAGGCAATTTTTCGTCGTGGAGATCCGTAACCAATCGTTCTCTCTTCACTCTCGAGCACTTTCCAGCATAATTGCAGGTCCGTGAACTCACAAATGACGTCTTCACATTGAAGAAAAACGCTCGTTTCGGGCGTTTGTAGCCCCGAGACGCGAAAACAGCTGCACTAGTACAGCTCGTGAAGCAGGCAATTTTCCGTCGTGGAGCTCCATGACCAATCGTTCTCTTTTCACTCCCGAGCACTTTCCAGCATAATTGCAGGTCCGTAAACTCACGAATGACGTCTTCACGTTGAAGAAAAACGCCAGTTTCGGGCGTTTGTAGCCCCGAGACGCGAAAACCGGTACAAATCGTGGAGCAGACAATTTTCCGTCGTGGAGCTCCGTGACCATCCGTTCTCGCTTCACTCCCGGGAACTTTCTGGCATAATCGTAGGTCCGTGAACTTACAAATGACGTCTTTAAGTTGAAGCAAAACGCTCGTTTCATGCGTTTATAGCCCCGAGATGCGAAAACATCCGCACCGGTACAGGTGATGAAGTATGCAATTTTCCGTCGTGGAGCTCCATGACCAATCGTTCTCGCTTCACTTCCGCGCACTTTCCAGCATAATTGCAGGTCCGTGAACTCACGAATGACGTCTTCACGTTGAAGAAAAACGCTCGTTTTGGGCGTTTGTAGCCCCGAGACGCGAAAACAACCGCACCGGTACAGGTCATGGAGCAGACAATTTTCCGTCGTGGAGCTCCGTGACCAATCGTTCTCGCTTCACTTCCTCTCAATTTCCAACATAATCGCAGGTCCGTGAACTCACAAATGACGTCTTCACGTTGAAGAAAAACGCTTGTTTTAGGCGTTTGTGGCCCCGAGACGCGAAAACAACCTCAATGGTACAAGTCATGGAGCAGACGATTTTCTGTCGTGGAGCTCCGTGACCAATCGTTCTCGCTTTACTCTCGGGCTCTTTCCAGCATAATCGCAGGTCCATAAACTCATGAATGACGTCTTCACGTTGAAGAAAAATGCTCGTTTCGGGCGTTTGTAGCCCCGAGACGCGAAAACAACCGCACTACTATAGGTAGTGAAGTAGGCAATATTCCATCGTGGAGCTCCGTGACCAATCGTTCTCGCTTCACTTCCGCGCGATTTCCAGCATAATCGAAAGTCCGTGATCTCATGAATGGCATCTTCACATTGAAAAAAAAACGCTCGTTTCAGGCGTTTGTAGCCCCGAGACGCGAAAACAGCCGCACTGGTACAGGTCATGGAGCAGGCAATTTTCCGTCGTGGGGCTCCGTGACCAATCGTTCTCTCTTCACTCCCTAGCACTTTCCAGCATAATTGCAGGTCCGTAAACTCACGAATGGCGTCTTCACGTTGAAGAAAAACGCTCATTTCAGATGTTTGTAGCCCGGAGACGCGAAAACCGGTACAGGTCGTGAAGTAGACTATTTTCCGTCGTGGAGCTCCGTGACCAATCCTTCTTGTTTTACTCCCGGAAACTTCCTGGCATAATCGCAGGTCCGTGAACTCACGAATGACGTCTTCACGTTGAAGAGAAGCGCTCGTTTTGGGCGTTTGTAGCCCCGAGATGTGAAAACAGCCGCACCGGTACAGGTCATGGAGCAGGCAATTTTCCGTCGTGGAGCTCCGTGACCAATCGTTCTCGCTTCACTCCCAACAACTTTCCAGCATAATTGCATATCCATGAACTCACAAATGACGTCTTTACGTTGAAGAAAAACGCTCGTTTCAGGCGTTTGTAGCCCCGAGACGCGAAAACAGCCGCACCGGTACAGGTCATGAAGTAGGCAATTTTCTGTTGCTGAGCTCCGTGACCAATCATTCTCGCTTCACTTCCGCGCACTTTCCAGCATAATCACATGTCCATGAACTCACGAATGACATCTTCTTGTTGAAGAAAAATGCTCGTTTTGGGTGTTTGTGGCCCCGAGACGCGAAAACAGCCGCACCGGTACAGGTCATGGAGCAGGCAATTTTCGGTAGTGGAGCTCCGTGACCGATCGTTCTCGCTTCACTCTCGGGCACTTTCCAGCATAATCGCGGATCCGTGATCTCATGTATGGCGTCTTCACATTGAAGAAAAACGCTCGTTTCGGGCGTTTGTAGCCCCGAGACGCGAAAACAGCCGCACTGGTACAGGTCATGGAGCAGGCAATTTTCCGTCGTGAAGCTCCATGACCAATCGTTTTTCTTTTCACTCCCAAGCACTTTCCAGCATAATTGCAGGTCCGTGAACTCACGAATGACGTCTTCACGTTGAAGAAAAACGCTCGTTTCAGGCGTTTGTAGCCCCAAGACGCGAAATTCGGTACAGGTAGTAGAGCACACAATTTTCCGTCGTGGAGCCCCGTAACCAACCGTGCACGCTTCACTCCCGGGAACTTTCCGGCATAATCGCAGGTCCGAAAACTCACAAATGACGTCTTTACGTTGAAGAAAAACGCCCGTTTTAGGCGTTTGTAGCCCCGAGACGCGAAAACAGCCGCACCGGTACAGGTCATGGAGTAGGCAATTTTCCGTCGTGGAGCTCCATGACCAATCGTTCTCGCTTCACTTCCTTGCACTTTCCAGCATAATCGCAGGTCCGTGAACTCACGAATGACGTCTTCACATTGAAGAAAAACGCTCGTTTTGGGTGCTTGTGGCCCCGAGACGCGAAAACAGCCGCACCGGTACAGGTCATGGAGCAGGCAATTTTCCGTCGTGGAGCTCCGTGACCAATCGTTCTCGCTTCATTCTCGGGCACTTTCCAGCATTATCGTAGGTCCGTGATCTCATGAATGACGTCTTCACATTGAAGAAAAACGCTCGTTTCGGGCGTTTGTAGCCCCGAGACGCGAAAACAGCCGCACTGGTACAGGTCGTGGAGCAGGCAATTTTCCGTCACGGAGCTCCGTGACCAATCGTCCTCTCTTCACTCCCGAGCACTTTCCAGCATAATTGCAGGTCCGTGAACTCACGAATGACGTCTTCACGTTGAAGAAAAACGCTCGTTTCGGGCGCTAGCTCTCGCGGCCAGCCCTAGCGATGGCGCTCGCTGGCGTCTGCGCTTGCGCTGGCAGATCTCTGGTACTGTTCTTTAAAAGAAAGTATTTTGCGTTGCAGCATGGGCGGGCACATGTTCTTTAAAAGAAAGTAGGTCCTAGACCGGTACATACTCTGAATACCAAGTCAAGATAGGTGTTATATTTAGGGACCATAGTGGTTATGATTAGAACTCAGGAGATGAGATGGGAGAAGCGAGAGGTTTGGCCAAAGAAAGAGAGTTTGCAATATGGAGAGAGGTACAAGATATAGGAAATGTGGCAAAGGGGGGTATACCACCAAGGCCCTACACTACTACTAACTATATAAGAATAATATATATTCTAACAACTCCCCCCCTCCCACCCCATTGTCAAATGTTGTAGCATGTAGTGAGGTTACTCTTAGGGGGTACAAATGTTAGGGTTTGCTATATGTACCCCAACCCACATCAATAACACCAACACTTTCATTCTTGACACCCACTCCTCCTCCCCTTTTTTTATGTACCGGTACTGTTCTTTACATTCACTATGTCAAGGTCCCTCTTAGGCCTGCGCTTCGCTATCTTAAACTCCTAGGATACAACATTTTCAACAACTGGGTTGCAACAAGTAAGAGAGGGATACGCTGTTGAGGAAGGGGAGAATCACGTTTATATCGTAGAGACTGTTTATAATATTTTGAGGATGCTTGAGATTCATGATTCCATTCATTCTGGCTAGAATACAAATTGCATTTTTGTTAATCGAGTGATATTTCCAGTTCAGTATTTTTTTCAGAGAATGCATGTTCTACCCAAGTTACGGTACCTGAATCTATTTCTACGGTAAATATATACGAGTGTAAAGAATTACTGTGGAATTGTCGCTGCAACTGTAACATCAGTACTACTTCTTTGTCGCGCGTTCGCCACCTGACACATCCTCGTATTTGCTAATTCACGACCAATTGCTGTGTCAGCCTGCCAGTGCCCACTGATCGTGAGATTCCGCCTAGTCTACCACATTTTCAAGCTTCGTTTTGGAATCCTTGTGTAGGCTCCGCTCTACTTGTGTCATGGAGGCTTCGATGATGGAAGCCGAGTCAGCGGAATCGAACGACGGAGACCAAACGCATCGCTTTTCCTCTCCCAGTTCTAGGCGTCCGCGAAGAAGATCCCTTAGTATTGATGAGGAACTTCTTCACAACATGCGGCTGTGGAGGAATTCGCCGAAGCTCGGAGGAGAAGGCTCAAGCCAAACTGAAAGTGGAACAAATGTGATAAACAGCGACGAAACCAGACACAAAAGCGGACGATATGACGATTTATTTGGTCGCATATCTCTGGAAGAAGGCACGACCCCTTCAGATTGGTAATGACCATTCTGTGAAGCTCAAACTTGTCCTTGAAAACACTGAACCTAAACACGAACACTGCAGGTTATATGATCCATTCAACAATCAAGAGCGATGCTCTTCGAGCTCTACGAGTCAAGGATTTGGAGAGTCCCCTTCAGTGGTCAGAAGGCTAAGCATGACTAAAAAGGCAAGCATTCGGACTTTCGCCCTTGAAGTCGTCAGGATACAGTGAAAATTTCATGCGCCTTATTTCTCTTCCTTCATTGTGTCAGGAAGAGATGACAACTGTGAACAACGATGCATCAGCGTCCAGCAACATTACTATCGAGTCGTCCATACCCTCGATTCGAGACCGGAAGCGAGATAAGGATGGTGTTGTTGAGCCTGGACGCATTTTGGCTGGTCAAACCTCCATGTTGCCACGACCGCGTGCTCGATCCTCTGGTCTACGTAAAGAGTCATCTCCAGATCCCCCAGCTCTGTCTCCTGGCGATTCAACACCAGGCTCCAAGCCATCCGCCATTCCGAAGCCTCCAAAAAACATGCGGACCAGAGTTCTACAACCTGGTGTATCCCTGATTCCTTTGCCGTCGCGAATCCCCCGCTTGACTCGACGAGATTTGCCTACCGCTTCTCGTGAGGGTCTGGTTAGGGAGGAAAAGAAAACGACTGCATCAAAGGCTTCGTCAGCGGAGGCCACGCAGAGAAGTTACAAATATCTTCCTGGGAGGTCAGTGCAGCCTTCAACTTCCAGCGCGATGTATGGCGATGAGTCGAGGTCCCATCAAAGGACGTCAGATCCAAGATCTACAGAAACATTGTTACGAGAAATCCAACCTTTCTCGACTGATCCAGCTTCATGCCCTCCTATGACACGTCAGAGGCCGTCAAAGTCATCACCACCTGATTTAAAACGCCAGGTTTCAACGATCAAGCACATTCTCCAACCTGTACGTTGACCACTCGATAATTATGTTGTATTGTGCAACGATTCTTGATAATGAATCTGATTCGTCCTTTTCTTTTTATTTTGAAGGAGAAGTTCAGCAACGATCATCCTACAACAATGCCAGAGATTATCAGCGACAACCAACGAACAGCATCGTCTGAGGGGCTTCATACCTCATACATTCCAACCAGTCCTCCAGCACTGCATAGTAACGATTTCTTTTTTGAATATTCTGAAGACTATGCATCCATGGGGGAAGATTCGGCGTCAGCCTGGCTATTTTCACCATCCCTTAGCGCTTTGCCTTCTCCTGAGACGTCACCTTCTCGCACGCCTCATTCTTGTTATGGCGATCAGAGTTCGTTTGTGGAGACCAACATGTGGAGCAACATACCCACCTCACATACACCAAGGGGAGCAGATCTGGAAAATTCGATCGAACAGGAATGCCTTCCACTCGAGGCAGGCCGTCTGCCATCTGTGGACAGGGTGCTCAGGAAGCCTGTTGATGGTAAGGACGCATTGGTTCTTTGTGAAAATTACTACCACTAATATACCTTATCTGATCCTGCAGATCAATCCGGTATTCCTGATGCCATTGAGACTGATGCTGAGGCTGAGCATAAGGCGGGTATACAATCTGCGCCATTGGGAAAAATGTCATCGTGTGATGTGTACAAGACACGTCAATCTGAAGAGCTGGTTGCATCAGAGTTGAGACATATGGTTTTGCCTTCACGAGACCGTTCAAGCATCAGAAGAACCAGAGGTAGCAGCTGCAGTGCATGGTCAATTGGTGAGCTGACAGATGAGGAGAGGTTGCTGCTTCAACTCATGGCATTGCAGAGGCGCAGCAGCGAGTTTGATACGAAAATGGCCAACATGAGGGACCAAAGTGGACAAGCAGAGCACAGTGGGAATAGAGGAAGTCACTCTGTTTCCTTATCCCAAGCTGAGTACGAAATAGATGAGGCACCACAAAGCAAAGGTATTGCTTCATTGTATTCGTATATCCCATCCTGTACCTGTGCAACTTCACAGCTGTTCTCACCAAGCTTTTCATGGCAGATGGTCTTCATCATGTTGACATTACAACTCAACGAACAACTATCGCAGACTCACTAGATCCTGCATCACTTCCGCCACACTCTCGATCCACTCCCCCACCACCTCCCCCTCTTCCTTCTTCTTTGCCTCCTCCTCCTCCTCCTCCTCCTCCTCCTCCTCCTCCTCCTCCTCCTCCTCCTCCTCCTCCTCCTCCTCCTCCTCCTCCTCCTCTTTGCACTCCTCCTCCTACTCCTCCTCCGCCTACTTCTCCACCACCTCCTTTGCCTACTACTTCTCCGCCTCTTCCCCCTCCTCCTCCTCCTCCTCTTTGTACTCCGCCTCCTACTCCTCCTCCGCCTACTTCTCCACCAACTCCTTTTCCTACTACTTCTCCTCCTCTCCCCCCTCTTCCCCCTCTCTGTACTCCTCCTCCTCCTCCTCCTCCTCCTCCTCCTCCTCCTCCTCCTCCTCCTCCTCCTCCTCCTCCTCCTCCTCCTCCTCCTCCTCTTTGTACTCCTCCTCTAACTCCTCCTCCGCCTACTTCTCCACCTCCTCCTTTGCCTACTACTTCTCCTCCTCTCCCCTCTCCTCCCCCTCTTTGTCCTCCTCCTCCTCCTCCTCCTCCTCCTCCTCCTCCTCCTCCTCCTCCTCCTCCTCCTCCTCCTCCTCCTCCTCCTCCTCCTCCTCCTTCTCCTCCTCCTCTTTCTACTCCTCATTCTTCTCCCCCTCTTTCTACTCCTCTTTCTATTTCTACTCCTCTTTCTACTACTCCTCCTCCGCTTTCTACTCCTCTTTCTACTCCTCCTCCACCTCCTCTTTCTACTTCTCCTCCTCTTTCTACTCCTCCTCTTTCTACTCCTCCTCTCTTTCTACTCCTCCTCCTCCTCCTCCTCCTCCTCCTCCTCCTCCTCCTCCTCCTCCTCCTCCTCCTCCTCCTCCTCCTCCTCCTCCTCCTCTTCAATCTCTTCCTTTTCATCATCACTCTTCCTCACTTATACCAAATTTCCGACCATCAGCCGAATTGGAGGTTCCAGTGCCGTTTTCATCATCCTTGCAGCTCCCAATCTTTCTTCCGGTCAATGATTCTCTTCCCCAGAGACACCAGGAAAATGAGTCAGATATTTTGTTGCAACATCAGGGGACCAACGAAAATTATGACGCGGAGACGACTCCGAATTTCACTCTTTCTCCCTTGTTGTGTGACACGTACTACAAGCTGTCCGGCGAGCTGACGTGCCTTTCTCCTTCAAGATTGGCAACTATTCCAGAAGAAGAAAGTTTGGACATTCTTGGTGTGCAAAGCACAGCTCCACAAGGCAGTGATTATTCAGAGAACATTGAGCCAGGCGACAAACAACCCTCTAATGACTCGCTGGCCGATGAAGAGGGCCAGCTGCAACTGGTGAGTGTGGGAGCGCAGAAGTAATATGAAAATTGTGGGTGGAAGCTTGCTGACAGATGACATTCTGCCTACGCAGGTGTCAGCTCGTGGTGTCAGAAGAAGCGAGACTGGGGAACTCCATGAGGTGAGCTTGAGGCTTGGGTGCTGCCTCCATGATTCTGCTACGTACTTACATGACACCGCAATGTTCAGACTTTCCAGCCAACATCGCTTTCCACATTATTTGATGCTGCATCTGACTGCACAGCAGGTGGAGTTGATTCGCGTGGCATTTATGTTCATGGAATCTGTAAGGGTTTGTGTGTTAATTCCTTCATCATGATGCAGGTGATGTGATGACTTGTGATTCTCCGTTGCGGCTTGCAGCAGTCCACGAAGCAGAGTTCTCAAATCAAAAACAAGGTGCCTGTCTAAGTGACATGGTACTCAATGATGTCGATGCACCCAAACCCCCCTGCATCGATGACAAAAGCCCTGCTGATGGCTTGCTAGCAAGTCAAGCTGAAGATTCGTATGAGGCAAGCTTCACGTTTGTGCAGTCAATTTCAGGTTTGAGACTGATAAACTGTATGAATTTTCTGACACTCCATTCTCTCCTTTTGCATACTTACGCTGATCCTTTGCGAACCTGTGAAAATAATGATGTTCATGAGGTGAGCAAAATATTGTTACTGAACTTTTGTTTCTGCTGCTGGTGGTTCACTTGAGTATTTGACACAGAACATTTGTCTTTCAGCAGCCCGCATTTGCGGTTACGGCATGCCAAACGTTTGATCCAGAAGAAGACGGCATAAAAGGTATGGTTCATGTGTATTAGCAACCACGAGAATGCGTTCGTATTGCTTGCTTATCTTAAACTCCCCACACAGAGAACGGGCAACTACATTCTCCTGCACATGTGACGGCGGGCTCAGATTCAGAGCTTTTTCCACTGTCAAAAACGGCAGACATTGTGAAGCCATTTGAGGAGTCTACTGAAAGCGATACAGCTTTTCCTGGTGAGTGAACCGTCCTTCAGTCAAAACGTTCACTTGTAAGGACGACTATGTGACATTTCTCTCCTGTCTTGCAGAATCCGGGCAGCTCATTAAGTCTCTTCTGCAGAATTCCACAGCGAAGCAGACGCCGGGTGATCACAATGACGATGTGGTAAGACCATATTCTCTCCTCAGTCCAGTGACTTGAACAAAATCTCACTTTGTTTATCTTTTCTACGCAGCTAAATATTCCCCTTGGTGATCAACAGCTTGGTAAGCCAGGTATGTGTCACGTTCGCACCATGCCATCTTTTCTTGAATGATGTGGCTGATCGTGGTTGATCAACGCAGATGTCGATGCAGTTGGAGAGCCAGTTCAGCACGCCATGTCAATGATGTCAACTGTTTCAGAACCAGAATGCCCAGGCACAAGTGTTTCTCCGTGGGTTCACTCTACAACCAGCAAGGATGTGGAACCAAGTGGGCTGGTTTTGGGTTATGATGCCTGTACAGAAAACTCGTTGACCAACGAAGCTGATGGTCCAGATAAGGTGTGAATCACTAGAATGTTTTTGCTGCTTACACTGATAGATTGACCAGCCTTTTTGTCAACAGAAGACTACAAGTGGCTTGCCCACGAGTAAAAATGAACGTCTCGGTCCATAAGGTGAGCTCCTGTTCCTTCTCATTTCAGCGGGAAACGTTTACTTACCCTCTGATTTCTCTGTGCAGCCAAAGTCAGAAGTCATGGCTGACCATTTGATTGGCACGAATGAAAGCGTCATACAAGGTTTGTGTCTCTGAATTGCATTTGAGGTTCGTTGTACATTTTGGTCCTTCAATTCAAAGCGGTGCAGGAAATTCGAATCTGTCCGAGACTTCTGCGGAGACTGATAACATTCTCCAAGGTGAGCCCATCAAGTTTGCTCCATTTCATCAGGTTTAACAGCCGGCTTACTTCAATCATGGCAGTGCGTGGCACCAAACGGAGTGACTGCTTGGGTTTGGAGGGGCATCATCTGGATGAGCCAAACGAGAGCACTGGTGGAGACGTTTATGCTAAACGGTTGAAAACCACTGTGATCTCAAGAAGCAATGCACGTGGAGGTTCCCTGCAGCCTACTTGCCGCATGTCACTTGATGAGTGGCTAGGATCAGGATCTCGTTCAGATATCAAGGATCTTGTGGAGGGCCAGCATCTGGAGCAGCAAACTGTGCACCTCGATGGGAAATCGGATGCCGATCAAGATAAACTCATTGGCGTTCCCGTATCCCCAAATGCTGAGTCAGCATCTCCAGGTAAGCTGCGTAATGGCTTTCTGCTGTGGAGAAATCTGCTTACTTAAGTATGTTCTCCATGGTGCAGGTTTACGTGTATCTGGGCCTCAAATTGTGAACAGCAATGATAGCTCATCTCAGAATCAGGTGCCGTTGAAGTTGGATGGTACAAACTTGGAAGAAATCCGTGAGGAGGCCCTTGAACCACCATCGATGCCAGCAATGGTGGCATCAGCAGTGCCCCTGGACTTGCCATGCCACAAATCAGCTACTGCACAGTTGCCGGTGGACGGTAAGAGGAGCATTTTAGAATGCTGCGTCATATCGAGTATGTCAATCACGTATGCAAGGAGTCAGAATCATGTCACGTAACGACGCTGTCGCTTAACTACTTCTTTGGTTATGAATCATTCGCTTGTGCTAACCTCGTGTTCCACTCCTACCAGGGGAGAGAGCGGCAAACGACCTGCCTGCTCAGATGTGCAACCAACCAAAATCGATTCCCCTCTCCAGTGAAGCTGTCAGATGCCGTCGTTCAGAAAATGATCCTGTTGGACCACATGCAGAGATCCTGGCTGGGGCAGGCTCAGCACTTACTAGCGAGATTGTGGCCGAAAATGTTGCTGGAAGTTCCATCACTGCTATCGAAAACGAGCAAGATGGATTGGTGAAGCCGACAAACACTGGGGAGTCAAGCAGTGGCCCACTCCATCAGGGTATTGTCGACTCTACGAGTGAGGGATCCAAGAAAGGGAGAAAGGGCAAAGGTTCTCGTGCACTACAGAGGCCTGATCGATATTCGGCTGGATCAAAGACATGCGGTTGCAGCATCATGTAGGTTTGAGGTGGTAGATACGGTACCACGTATTCAGTGATGTGTTTGGACCATTTGTTGCCTGCTCTAGTGAATACAGCGTCAGACATAGATAGTCCGTGAAGTGATCGGTGACTTTCGTGGCCAGGCAGTGTTAGGAAACCACATTCTGTTCCTCTTTTTTCTTTTCCGTTTTTCAATTGCCAAAGAGGTTATCTGTGAAAAGCTCTCAAGAAGAAATAACACACAATTGCCCTCTCAAGTCCCTGCAGTCCGAGGCATGGTTGCCTTAGTCCCATGCACCATTCCTGTTACATACCTACTTGTATTGTACGGTATAAATTCTCCTAAACACATCAAAGATTGGTGTACTGAACTAAAATGATTCAGTTCAGAATCTTCAGGGCTGCGCAGCGAGTGTCAGGAATGCTGGGCCCACTTGGCGGAGCCTTCCCCGCAAACCCCAAATTGCGCAACCCGAAGGCTAGCCGTTGAAGCAAGAGTCTGATCTGAACTTTGAGGAACTCGCGCCCCACTCTCCGGAAAGTCGGCGCAAATCCGCCTTTGTGTCAGACATTCGGGGGTTGCGCTTCCGCAGGCTTGCGACTGACAACCCCTTTCCGTTTGGCGAATTCTGCTTGGGGGGCAGTGTCACGAATGTAGCCATCATCGTCAGCTCGTTTGTAACAACCATTTGCCACGACTTTTCACCTGCGAGCGAGTTCAACTTTCGCAAACATACTTCGCCCATCGAATTTCCACCGCCCTGGTCCCGCCGTTGCCGTGCGCCCGAAAGCATTTCGGAAATCTCGAGGTTGGTTGGGAAGGCAGGCAGCACTTGGCATGGCACATTCCCCACCACACCACAAACTCGCCTCGTTTCTTCCTCAACGAGCTGCTTCTCACGCCCACCTCGCTCAACATTCGCCTTTCTTTCTGCTCCTCACCTCTAGTTGCTCACCGCCAGATGCTCAGCGCTATTCCCACGAAACGCTTACGCTGCTGTTATTCTTTCGCTGGCGACCGATTTGGCGGAGAAGAGGTGTTGGCGGAGCGTCAGCAGGCAGATTCTACGTCGCCTCGTGCTGTTTTAGACCGTCGATTTCGTCGCATCCTCCGTGGAAAGTCGTTGATCGGGCGTCGCGAGAAAGGTTTTCGGGCGTGGGATGTTGGTGCGAGTGGAGGCGAAGACGCGAGCGACGACGAGGTACGATAGGGTCCGCGCCGTTGTGCTCTTGACCGTCGCTGCCTGCTCCTTCCCGCGCGCTTATCGTGCCTCCATTCGCACCCGCGCTTATGATGCACCGAATTCAGCTAGCGCTTCTCACACTCGTAGTTCTATTTCGCGTTTCTCCCTCCTGCAGGAGAACGGTTGACGGCGGAGCTAGCGGCCTGTTAATTGCAGAATGGACGGCCGTTTGCGATATCGTTGTCCCCGCGTCTTCGCACGGCGAAATCGTATGCGGCGCGTCGCAGGCAGGCGAAATCGTCGTCCGCTCGTCGCAGCCCGGCGAAATCGTCTTCCGCGCGTCGTACTAAGGCAGAATCGTCGTTCGCGCGTCGTACTAAGGCGGAATCGTCGTTCGCGCGTCGTACTAAGGCGGAATCGTCGTTCGCGCGTCGTACTAAGACGGAATCGTCGTTCGCGCGTCGTGCTAAGGCGTAATCGTCGTAAGCGCGTCGTAGGCGGAATCGTCGTCCGCTCGTCGCAGCACGGCGAAATGGTCGTCCGTCCGCTCGTCGCATGGCGAAATGGTCGTTCGCGCGTCGCAGCACGGCGAAATTGTCGTTCGCGCGTCGTACTAAGGCGGAATCGTCGTTCGCGCGTCGTGCTAAGGCGGAATCGTCATCCACACGTCGTACTAAGGCGGAATCGTCGTCCGCGCGTCGTACTAAGGCGGAATCGTTGTCCGCGCGTCGTACCAAGGCGGAATCGTCTTCCGCGCGTCGAACCAAGGCGGAATCGTCGTCCGCTCGTCGCATGGCGAAATGGTCGCACGGCTGGACGTCTTGTTGGCGTGGGTGTGAGCAGCAGCTGCGGCAGCACCACCACCTCTCGTTGCATTGTCAACCGCCAGCTAAGTGCATTCTCCTCCCTCCACTCAGTTGCTTTCGTGTCATCCTTGCACCATGCATTACACCCATCCTTTTCACTGCTCTTTGTCACACCCATTAGACCTCCCTCCCCCAAGGTAGTAGGTATAGTTTTTTTTCTTGGTACAGCCTCAGGTATTTGTTTTAGTTTGGTTCAGCTGGTACGAGGTCTCTTGGGTGTGCCACTGCAGCAGTCCATTCATGCACGCATCATGCTTACGCTTGCTGCACACTTGACTTTCACTTGTCTTGGCTTCTTTCCTCACTGCTCTCCCCACTCCTCTGCGCCCCCTGCACTTCCCTGTTCTCTTCCCCCCCTCCTCCCTTCCTCCCTCTGTCCCGACCTGCCCCTTCTCGTCCCAGCAGGTCGCTTAGGCGAGCAGCAGGCGAGGGGGGCGCCAAGGCGGGCAGCGGGGCAGCAGCGCCGGCCTCATCAACGGTTGAGGTTGCAGTATCGCCCCTGCCACCACACTCCACTCGAGCCCACTCCCCCTCAGGTTCAGGTTCAGGTTCAGGTGCAGGTTCAGGTTGGTAGCGGCTCTTGTGGGGTTGTGGTTGGCGTCACATGCACTGTCGTTTCTGCTGTTGCACGTGTGTTTGACACTTTTCTCCATTGCAACCCCTCTTACTTTCGGCTGCCTATCTTTTCCGCCCTGCCCTCCCTCCCATCCCTTCCCTGCCAGGCCTTCACAAGCCAGGGGAACGGCAGCAGGCGAGAGGAGCACCAGGGCGGGCAGCAGGCGAGCAGCAGGCGAGGGGAGCACCAGGGCGGGCAGCAGGAGCGCGGGCAGCGGGGCAGCAGCGCCGGCCTCATCAACGGTTGAGGTTGCAGTATCGCCCCTGCCACCACACCCCACTCGAGCCCACTCCCCCTCAGGTTCAGGTTCAGGTTCAGGTGCAGGTTCAGGTTGGTAGCGGCTCTTGTGGGGTTGTGGTTGGCGTCACATGCACTGTCGTTTCTGCTGTTGCACGTGTGTTTGACACTTTTCTCCATTGCAACCCCTCTTACTTTCGGCTGCCTTTCCTTTCCGCCCTCCCTCCCCTCCCCTCCCTTCCCTGCCAGGCCTTCACAATCCAGAGGGAGGGCAGCAGGCGAGCAGCAGGCGAGGGGAGCACCAGGGCGGGCAGCAGGAGCGCGGGCAGCGGGGCAGCAGCGCCGGCCTCATCAACGGTTGAGGTTGCAGTATCGCCCCTGCCACCACACTCCACTCGAGCCCACTCCCCCTCAGGTTCAGGTTCAGGTGCAGGTTCAGGTTCAGGTTGGTAGCGGCTCTTGTGGGGCTGTGGTTGGCATCACATGCACCGTCGTTTTTCCACTCACACTGCTGCCAGATTCTTCTCGTTTAACAGAGTCAATCCCCCCCACCTGCCTCTTACTATCTCTCTATCTCTCTCTCCCTTCTCTGCCTCGCAGGTCCGTCCCTTCAAGCCCCGCTCGCCCTGCCCACTCTCCATTGAAGCCCCCCCTCTGCCACACAATCAGCTAAGTTCCGCTTTCCCCGTGCCCACACCCTTGCCTGCCATACCGTTTCTTTCATTTCATCTGTTGTTGCACCGTCTTATTGAAACAACGCCACTGGTTGAGTACTGCTCACATGCTACAGACCCCCCTGCTTCAGGTAATTCCCTCAGGTGCAGGTATATCCCTCAGGTTTTTTTTCAGGTGCCCTTGGGTCTGTAGCTTGTGGCCGTGCTTCCACCAGTGGCCCCTCCCTCTTCTCTTGTGCCGGATTTAGAGTCACTGTTATTTATTTGACTTTCTCCCACCACTGCGCTCTGACTAGCTCTGTGTGTGCGCATTGCAGGTGGCGGGGAGGGGTGTGGGGTCAACACCGACGCTCCCTCACGCCCCTCCCCTGTGGCCGTGCACGGAGGAGGCACCTGGAGGAGGGTTGTTGCATGCGGAGGGAGGCAGCTGGTGGTGCTGCAGCTGCCTTGAGCTCGCCCTCACGCTATCAGCTAAGTCACCCACTTCCATGCCCTCACCCTTGCCCGCCACATCATGGCTTGTTGCTTTCTTGCTGCCAGTTCCTTTGCCGGTTGTGCATTCCCCTTCCCTTTGAAACAATGCCACTGGTTGAGCTCGGTTTACATGCCTCAGACCCCCTCTCTTCAGGTATCTCCTCAGGTGCAGGTAACCCTCTCAGGTGCAGGTCCCCCCTTCAGGTGCAGGTTCCCTTGGCGTCTGTGGCGTGTGGCCTGGCCTCAACCAGTGGCCCTCCCTTTCTCTTCCACATTTGGCAGTTTCCTGTCACTGGCTTGTGTTGTGCCCATGCCATGCATACTGACCACCGCCGTGTGTGTGCGTTGCAGGTGGAGGGGAGGGGCGCTGGGGTCAACACCGACGCTTCCCCACGCCCCTCCCCTGTGGCCGTGCAGGGACTCGTGGGGACGGGAGGGAGGCAGCACTGCAGCATGGCAATCCCACTGCAGCAAGGGAGAGTATCGGGATGGGCTTGGCCTCTCAAGGTAAGCCTCGTACCTCTCTTTGCCGCTGCACTCGCTTTCTGCTAACTTGCCCTCTCGCGCTCATTCCCTTGCCTGTTTCAAGGCATGCACTCACTCCCCTCCTCTTCCATTCTGCCCCCTCCCAGGTCACTTGCAACACAGCAGAGACAGCTGGCGGGACCACTTGTGGCAGCATCAGCAGCGGGGAGCACTGATGCAGCAGGGGAGGGGCCCTGCTTCACCTGCCCTCTCCACACAACCACTTAATCAGCTAAGTGCTCGCTCCTTCATGCATCCACCCTCGTTTCGTTTTCTGTCATTTCTATTTCTCTCAAAACGGGGCAACTGGTGGTAGCACAGGAAACAGCCCACAGACCCTCCCCATTACAGGTAAAGCCCTCCCCCAGGTAAAGCCCTTTTCCAGGTAAAGCCATCAGGTAAAGACCGTTGTCTGTGACTCGTGACTGTGCGTCCACCCGTGGCCCTCCTTTCGCTCTTCTTCAGTTCACCTCGCTTGCATGCATGCGTCCCCTTCCGTGATGCTGACTCCCTCCCACTCACTGCCTCTCCCTCGCCTCCCATCCCCTCCCCTCCATTCCCCTCCCCTCCAGGGCCCCTCGCAGGAGCTAAAGAGCAGCGCTGCTGGTTGTCTGAGACGCCATGCCATGCCTGCTGCCCATGCTGCTTTAACTGCCTCCTGCTCTCACGCCATCAGCTAAGTACCCGTTCCTCCATGCCCTCACCCTTGCCTGCCACACCGTTTCGCTCGTTTCATCTGCTGCTGCACTGTGTTCTTGAAACTTCGCCACTGGTTGGGCACTGCTCACATGCTAAAGACCTCCCTGCTACAGGTAATTGCCTCAGGTGCTTCAGGTAACCCTCTCAGGTGCAGGTACACCCCTCAGGTATTTTATCAGGTGCCCTTGGGTCTGTAGCTTGTGGCCATGCCTTCACCAGTGGCTCTTCCCTCTTCTCTTGCTCTGGATTTAGAGTCAATGTGATTCATTCTACTTGCTCCCACCACTGCGCTCTGACTAGCTCTGTGTGTGCGCATTGCAGGTGGCGGGGAGGGGTGTGGGGTCAACACCGACGCTCCCTCACGCCCCTCCCCTGTGGCCGTGCAGGGACGCACACGGGAGGGCTGGGAGGAGGGCTGCCGTGGAGGGAGGCAGCTGGTGGTGCTGCAGCTGCCTTTAGCTCGCCCTCACCCATCAGTTGAGTAACTCTCCTCCATGCCCTCACCCTTGTCTGCCGCATCATACACTGCACTTTTCTTGCCGCCATTTCGTTTTCTGGTTGTGTTTTCGCCCTTTTCTTTTGAATCATGGCACTGGTTGAGTGAAGTCACGTGCCACAGACACCCGCACTTCAGGTAATTCCCTCAGGTGTGCAGGTACCCCCCTCAGGTATGCAGGTACCCCCCTCAGGTATGCAGGTAATCCCTTCAGGTGTGCAGGTCTCCCTCTCAGGTGCAGGTTCCCTTGGCGTCTGTGGCGTGTGGCCTTGCCTCAACCAGTGGCCCTGCCTTCTCTTCCAGTTTTGGCAGTTTCCAGTCTGTGCCTTGTGTTCGAAGCCATGCCATGCACACTCACCACCCCGTGTGTGTGCATTGCAGGTGGAGGGGAGGGGCGCTGGGGTCAACACCGACGCTTCCCCACGCCCCTCCCCTGTGGCCGTGCAGGGACTCATGAGGACGGGAGGGCGGCAGCATTGCAGCAGATGGCAATCGCTGCCACAAGGGAGAGTATCGGGGTGGGCTCGGCCTCTCAAGGTTTGTCAACTTCCTTCTCACCCTCCAACTCCCTCAAGTTCGTTTTCTGCTGCATGGTTTTCTCGTCATTCTTAGCATCAACGCTTCTCTCTTGTCATTTCTACATCTTCCTACTTCATCCTTTGTGCATTTCAAAACAAACCACAACTATTGTCACGCCACATCTTACCTTTTGTCTCTCTCTCCTCCTTTCTGCCCACCACCAGGTCACATGGCATCACTAGGGAAGAATGCAGCTGAGAAGCAGACCGGCAGCAGCAGTTGTAGCAGCAGAAGCGGAGCAGCAGCAGCGGTAGCAGCAGAAGGGGGTTGGGGGGCTAGGGGGACAGGATAGGCTAGGTCGAGTCATGGTATGCAAGGTGTGGTAACAGGTGAGATATGGTGGTGAGGTATTCTGACCCCCTCCTTTCTTTCTCTCCCCTTCTTCCCCGCAGCCTGAGGGTGGGAGCACAGAAGCACGGGCGGAGTGTGGAGTCCACCCTCTCACTCACCTCCTCCTCTTCTCTCTCTCTTCCCTTCTTCCAACAGCACCCTTCCTGGACCACAGTGGAGTTCCACCCTCTCTTAATCCCCCCTGCCCACTTCCCCGCAGCCTCAGGCATCATGGCGCTGCACGGCTCTGGTAGGTACAGGTGAGCACGTATGGGGTGAAGGGGAGGGGGGGAGGTGGGCGGGTGGAGGGGCAGCATGGGAGCAAGCGGGCAGCATGCTCTTTTAGGGGCAGCACCCTCTGGGGGTGTGGCTTGTGGGTGGGGTGTGGTGGGTGGAATCTGCGCGGCACGGCACTCGGTGCTCAAGTAACCGAACTGGCGTTTAAGGCTTAATGGACACCGTCAGAGCCGACCGGCCGGCGGCTCTGGTTCGCGTCAGCTCTAGCCACGTCAGGGGTGAAATTTGAGTCTTGGGCTGGAAGCAATTTTCCACTACGACACCTCACCCGCAAGGCACAGCCACTGAAGGTGCTGTTTCCAAAAGGGAGTGGGCTGTCTGCTGCTCCTACTGCTGGCAGGTGAGTGTGGGGCTTAGTTGGTACTTTACGTTTTTTTGGGTCACGTAAACGTAAACTTACGCTGGAGTTTACCTTTACGTTTTCTTACGCGTAATTTTACGTAAAGTCGCACGGGCAGGGCAAAAAAAGTTTTTTTTGCCTGCGAAACGAGAAAATCTGACTGATATGAGGTGGGGAGAGGCTGTGACATGTCCGTGGGCATCTGTAAGTTGATGTAATAATGTGCTAACATGCTTGGGCGTAGAAGAACCAAGCTAGTGATAGATTAGGCGCTTCCCATGCAGCCACTTAGTCCGATGATTTCTTATCTATCCGGGCAGCCAGAAATGTTTCTGGCTGACCGTAAATGTAAAGCCATTTTGGGCCCACGTAAGTAAACGTAAGTTTACTACGTAAAGTCACGTAAACGTAAACCCCCGTAAACGTACAATACCAACTAAGGTGTGGGGATGGGTAGGGTGGGTGGGTGAGATGGAAGGGGCGTGAATCCCCTTGGGTTGGGTGGGGAGGTTGGAAGGAAGGGGCCTGAATCCCCTTGGGTGGGGTGTTGTTACTGGCAGGTGAATGGTGTGGAGGGGAGAGGTAAAGTGGCGGGTGTGGGTGGGTGGGGGTAGGTGGGTAGGTGTGAGGATAGGAGGCTGGGGTTTGGGCGGTGGGTGGGTGGCTGTGAGTTCAGTGGTTGATTGTAATTAGGTGGTCATGGGTAGGGGGATGGGCAGGCGGGTGGGAAGGCGTAGGTGTGTGGGTTGAATGGGTGTTTCTGGGTAGGTGGGTGGGTGGGAAGGCGTAGGTGTGTGGATTGAATGGTTGGTTCTGGGTAGGTGGGTTGGTGGGTAGGTGTAGGTGTGTGGGTTATATGGGTGGTTCTGGGTATGTGGGTGGGTGGGAAGGCGTAAATGTGTGGGTTGAATGGTTGGTTCTGGGTAGGTGGGTGGGTGGGAATGCGTAGGTGTGTGGGTTGAATGGATGGTTCTGGGTAGGTGGGTGGGTGGGTAGGTGTAGGTGTGTGGGTTAAATGGGTGGTTCTGGGTAGGTGGGTGGGTGGGAAGGCGTAGGTGTGTGGGTTGAATGGGTGGTTCTGGTTAGGTGGGTGGGTGGGAAGGCGTAGGTGTGTGGGTTGAATGGGTGGTTCTGGTTAGGTGGGTGGGTGGGAAGGCGTAGGTGTGTGGGTTGAATGGGTGGTTCTGGTTAGGTGGGTGGGTGGGAAAGCGTAGGTGTGTGGGTTGAATGGGTGGTTCTGGTTAGGTGGTTGGCAGATGGTTGGTGGGCATGTTGGTGGATGGATGGTGGAGGGTCGGGTGGAGGATATGGGTGGGTGGGTGCTGGGTTGCTGGGAGATTGTGAGTGGGTTCGTGGTGTGTGGTGGCTGGGTATGCGTATGGGTAGCTTGGGCAGTGTCTGGCTGGTTGTGTAATTGATGGTTGGAAAGTGAACGGTCGGTGGTTGGGGTTGGGTGGATGGGACCATGGGCGGGTGAGTAGGTGCCCGAATGGATAGGCAGGTGGGTGAGAGGGTATGTGGGTAGGTGGGTAGGTGGTGGGTTGTGTGTTGGTTAAGGGACGAGGGTAAGTTGAGTGACAGGTGAAGGAGGGAATGTTGAGTGACAGGTAAGTCTGAATCCCCCAATGGGATTGAAGTCCTGCGGCTGTTGCTGTGGTTTCAGGGTGGGATTGCTGAGCTCTCATGATTATGGGGCCTTTCCTCGAGTTTGGACACTCCACGGCTGCATGCATGCGAACGAGAGTAATGAGTAAGTCCCCTTTTGCCATGCCCTAGGGGCACTGGCATGCCTGAGATGCAGTGAGCTCTAGAAGCTGTTTGAGTGATGACAATATGCACGTGGTGGTTGAAGTTTGCAGGGAGAAAGGAGGGGAAGCTGGCTAGAGGCTTGTGCAAGGATGGTTATGCATGCTGCATGCTTGGGCTGGGTTCATGCACGCATAGGCCGTGGTGCATGGATGCATGTACATGCATCTGGTGCATGCTTGTGTGATTTATCATTGACAGGAAGCTTGTTGGACGTGCAGAATCAGCTGCGTGTCATGACTGAAAGATTCATGCACCTGCATTCAGCTTGTGGGTGGAAAAGCCAAGGAAGGCTCTTTACTTGGCTCATCGCTTGTCTTTATGCTGATTAGCTTTTGAGACGTATTTTGAACAATATATTTCATTTATAGACATTGATGTTATGAACGGAAATATGTAAGTGAAGAATTATATTCATTTTCTGTCGTACTTTGTTCATATTTGCCAAAATGACTGGTGCATGAACTACCCATTTTTTCTGGAAACGAAATTCGATGTGCTTGTAATGCGTACCGATGTTATCTCATCCAATACATTGATCCGCACCAGCGCACTCTGCGTCATCCTGACACCATCCCGCCATTTTCTCCCTCCCGCCACTCTCGGAATCAGCCAACAGACAAACTCCCTTCCCCAACCCCCAACCACACCAACTCCCACGCTGTCGACTCTTCACACGCTTGCGTGACCATGCTATAGCCAGCTGATCCTAATGTAATAAAGCGTACGCTATCGTCGCACTCACATGCAAGCACCGAGAGCGTTTCCACCTGCGCAGCGAATCGGCTCGGCCACTCGCTCCGTAGCCGCGGCCGTTCTCGGGGCTCGCGGCGGCTCCGCCGGTGCTCGGATTGATCCTTTGCCGACTCAATCGTCTCTTTTTATACCGCGATACGTCTCGCGATTTCCGCATCGCGCATTCCGGGTCAACGGTAACCGCGTCATCGTGGCTTCCGCGCCGCTTTCGCTTCTCCAGCGGTTCTGGACCGCCACGTCATCCACTCTTTGCAACGCCTTATCGCCCGTGCCGTACCGACGAAATGCGTCATTCAGCGGAGGTAGGGAGATCCGCCAAGACGACTATGGCAATGGCGTTGCCGGCGAGGAAGGTTCCGGGCAAGGCTCCACGCCTCCTATAGCACCGGAATCGCCTTCCAGGAGCCTTCGGCAAAGCGATCTAGACCTTTTCGCGCGCCGCGGCCGCTCCCGCGCGGATTGGAGCGCCGATGCTGCGCCGCGCCACGGCGAAGGAGCGTCGGAGCCGCCGATGGTGTCGGGAGCGGGCATTGGGGGAGGAGTAGGGGGAGCGGGAGTTTCGCCGACCACGAGCGCGCTCGGTCGTCCCGGGATCGGCGCTGTTCCTAGCAGCAGCGCGAGCGGAGCGGGTACGAGCGGGATATGGGGGGGTAAAGTAGTGCCGTATTCCGCAAGAGCGCAGGAGCAGGAGCAGCGGGAGCAGCGGGAGGTGCGGAATCAGCCGCGGCAGCGGGAGACGCGGCAGCGCAGCGACGGCAGCGCGCACGTAGGGAGCTCCCCCACGCGCAGCAGCAGCAGCAGCGGCGGAAGCAGCAGCAGGGACAGGGGCAGGGCCAGCAGCGAGCGCAGCTCCGGAATCGGCTCAGGCGGAACAGAGGCGTTCGGAACTCCGCCCGAGTCCCCGTCGGGTTCCTTAGATAGCTACCAGCACAGGCCTAAACGGCAGTTCGTGGGGAGGAGTGCTGAGCGGGAGGGCGAATCGCCGGGGGAGAGGGGGCTATCCGCGCAGGGAGGGGGGCGGGGGGGTGCGCGCAGTGGTTTCGCGATTGGAGGGGAGCGCCCTGTGACGTCTAGGCAGCTGTTCAGGGGGAAGGGGGAGGCGGAGGCGGAAGGGGAGGGGGAGGGGGAGCGGCGGCGGAAGCAGGCTGGCGCAGGCGCGGGGGGAGGCGGGGCTGCAGGCGCGGGGGGTCGAGGGGAAGTGGGTGGTGCGGGGAGGAAGGGGCGAGAGGGGTTGGGGGAGAATCAAGTGGCAAGAGGAGGCGGGGGAGTGGGGCAGGTTGTGAATGAGAGTGGTTCGGCGGGGTGGCGTGCGGTACAAGGTGGAGAGAGAGTAGGCACAGCAGCGTGGGCAGCGTTAGGTCGCAGTTCCCCCCCTGCTTCTCCCACCCGTGCTCTTGGTGGTTCCTCATCCGTTGCACCACTGCATGAGCCGCAGCAACGGCAGCAACAGCAGCAGAACCAGCAGGCGCAGCAGCAGCAAACGCAGCAGCAGACCCAGCAGCAGACACAGCAGCAGCAACAGCTTCGACCACCAGTGCTGCCACTGCAGCAGCGGCAAGCAGATGCTGTAACCCCAGAAGCAGCAGCAGCGGCAGCAGCAGCAACAGCAGGCGCAACAGCAGCAGACTCAGCAGACTCAGCCTCCGCAGCAGCAGCAGAAAATGGACGAGAAAATGGCAGCTGCGATCTATCTGTTGACTCCTGAAGTAAGCCCCAAACGGTCTGGTCCTGAACAGTGTAGTGAAGTGCAGCGAAGGCTTTATCAATTCTTTAGGCTCGATGCCCCATTCACTGCTTTTCCGCCCCTTTATCCCCAGAACCGTCCAATGCTCAAGCACAAGAGTCCGTCACATCCCTTATCCTTCTTCCTTCCCTATCCCTTCCCCTCCTCTCTCTTTTGCAGAAGCGTCCGAAACTCATGCAAGGTCCCACATTGTACGAGCGGGAGAGGAGGCAGGAGGAGGTGCTGCGGCGGAAAGGTGGCATGCGCAAGACCTCGTCGCTCCCCAAGCTCACCTCGCCTCAGGAGCAGCTGCTGGGGTCCATGCCCCCCATGCGCCGCTACCTGGTTGACATGATTATTGGCTGGTGGGTGGGTGGCACTGTCATAGCATGGCTGTGTATCTGTAGCACCTTTTAGAATCAATGCTGGGGTCCATGCCCCCCATGCGCCGCTACCTGGTTGACATGACCATTGGCTGGTGGGTGGGTGGCAGTGTCACAGCATAGCTGCGTACTTCATCGACATGCTATCAAGGGAGGTGGAGGCCTTGGCGGTAGTGCCTGTGCCAGTGGCAGATCAAAGGATCACCTTATCTGACTCCCATTCTCCTCGTTATGTGCATGTGCCGTTTGTGGGAGAGCAGTGACTTATCGACATGCTATCAAGGGAGGAGGTGGAGGCCTTGGCGGTAGTGCCTGTGTCTGTTTGGGTTACATCCCCTTGTTTGGCCTAACCCTTGTCTCTCTCTTTCCAATCGTGTCACATCTCGTTGTTGTGTGTGTGTGTGAGAGAGCAGTGACTTCATCGACATTCTATCAAGGGAGGAGGTGGAGGCCTTGGCAATAGTGCCAGTGTCTGTGGCCGAGCAGTTCCTGCGCCGCATGCCCAGCCATCCCCACCGCCGCATGAGCGAGGTACTTTCTTGCTACTCGCTACTCGCTGCTCGCTGCGTGCTGCTTGCTGTGTGTTGCGTGCTGCTTGCTGCTTGCTGCTCGGAGGGTGGTGCATGGGAAGACGCGTGCGTGCATGCACGGGGCATGATCTCACTCTGTGCATAATCTATGTGTGCTTTGCTCTTGGTTTGGCTAGCTTACCATTACCATTTCCATTACCAATGCCATTACTACTGTTATCATTACCATTACTATTACCAATGTTATTACCATTATCATTACTATTACCATTACCAATGCTATCACCATTACCATTACCATTGCCATTACCATTACCATTAGCATTACCAATGTCATTACCATTAACATTGTCATTACCATTTCCATAACCATTATCATTGCCATTATCATTCTCATTCCAATTGTCATTACCCTTGCCATTGCCATTGACATTACCATTACCATTAGCAATGTCATTACCATTACTATTATCATTGCCATTACCATTACCATTACCATTACCATTGCCATTACCATTCCCATTCCCATTGCTATTGCCATTGCCATTCCCATTGCCATTCCCATTGCCATTCCCATTGCCATTCCCATTACCATTCCCATTACCATTCCCATTGCCATTCCCATTGCCATTCCCTTTGCCATTGCCATTGCCATGACCATTGCCATTGCTATTGCCATTGCCCTTCTCCTGAGCAACTCCGTTTTCACCCACCCGCGTCCTGCGCTGTTCTATGTCGGCAACTGGGCATAACCATGCTCCCACTCCCTATGCATGCTTGCGTGTGTATGTGTGCGTGCGTGTGCGTGCATGTGCGTGCGTGTATGTGCATGGGTCGAGCAAACATGACAGCCGGGAGCGGGCGAGCGCCTGTTTGATGAGAGCAGGCAGGCCTATCTGGAGGTGCGGATAGAGGAGGACGTCAACAACAACAGGCAACCCAAGATCGCTGCCATTGTATGCATGCATGTTCATATGCACACAGACATGCGCGCAGGCACGCATGCACACATGCGCGCACGCACACGCGCACACACGCCATTGGGTTGCTTGCACCAGTGGCCCTGATTCCAGATGCCTTGCTCGCTTTGCTGCCACATGCGCCGCGCCATACCATATGTTGCATTCCATGCATGACTATATGCCATGTGCCATGTGCCTCGCTCCTTTGCCCCTCTGCACGACCGTAGTTCCGGTTTTCCCTGCACTTGCCCTCTCTCCCGCGCTCATACTCTCCAGACCACCTACAGGAGAACGTGTGTGCAGAACCGGGTTACATTGCTTGAGTGGGCTCAAGCATCCTCAATGAGTTAATTATCCGTCCACTCGCTTCTCTTCTGAATATTCTGCAGGACGTGTGTGCAGAACCGGGTTACACAGTGGCACACCGGCAGCTAGGCCGGGACAGGATCTTAAGAGTGAGTGAGTCAGCTTGTGATGGGTATGGTGAGCTTGTTGGAAAGATCAATCAATGTTGTGGCATACACATACGCATACGCATCCCCTTGGTGGAAGGAGCTCTCTTGAATAAAACCCTTGTGCATCCTCACTTTCCTGTCATGCCCTGCCACGCCATGCCATCCCATTGCATTGCATGACAGTCCATGCTGGCCCCTTACCAATGCACTTGTTAACCATCCTCTCACCATGCCACGCGACCTGCCTGCCCCCCTGTGCATGTGTGCCCTGCCCCTGTGAGTGTAATGAGGGTGGGAATGCATGCATGCATGGATGCATGGATGTGCGTGTGTATGTTTCCATGCCTGCATGCATGATGCGTCTGCGTGCGTGCGAATGGGTATGTACTATGTTTCCGTGTGTTTACACATGCAGGTGACCTTCCCACCCCCCAGGAACTCCAACCAGGGAATGACTCCCTACGTCAAGTTCCTCCAAGAAGGCCTAGTCGTTGGGCTCAGGCGATTCCACTTCCTCGGTGCGTGATGCGACTCTTTCTTCCCTTTCGTTCTAACATGCACAGTGGGTGCTGCTCCTGGGTGCGAGGTGACTTTTGAGTCGACTCAAAAGTCACCACCTCAGGCGATTCCATTTCCTCGGTGGGTGCTTCTGCCGGGTGCAGGCGTGTGTGTGTGTGTGCTCCTCTCCTTCTGACCTTCAGAATCGAAATCGTCTCAAAGGAGTGTGTGTGCGAGTATATGCTTCACCATTGAAAAGCCGCCTCTCTTCGTCTCTCTTCCTCCCCTCTCTTCCTCTCTCCTCCTCCTCCCTCCGCTCCTCCTCGCTCCCCTTCTCCCCCTCTCCCCTCCCCTCTTCCCCCACCTCCAGGCTTCAAGGCATCGCAGGGCAACTTCAAGTCGGGCGAGGCAGAGAGGGTGTTCATGTTCGCCCTGCGCTCCATCGCCCCTGCCGACGCCAACTCCCCCGCCTTCCCGCTCTACCCCTCCATCAAAGACGTCTGGAACCGCTTTGCACACTTCCACACCTGCCCCACCATCCAAAAAACCGCTGCCAGGTACTCCTTCCCCCCTTCCTCCAGAGCCCTTGTTCTGATTCCACATGTTTGGCTTAGCCGCCAGAAGCATTTAGCACCTTGCTTGGCCCCCTAGCTTTGTCTCATTCTCCCTCCACCCTTTCCTCCTCCCTGTGTGGGTGGGCAATGGGCAATGGGCATGGTGTGGTGTGTGGGGGCAGAATCGAGCTGCTCTTTTCACGCACATACTCCCTCATGGACCTCCAACCAGGCGACGTGCAAGTCGTCCCAGACGTCACATGCCAGGTGCGCTGCTGTGCTGTTCACTCACTCACGGGCGAGAATTGAGTTCCTGGTTTATGCCGATCCTACCAGCCCGCCTCCGCTCTCCCCTACCCCACTTCTCCACCCTACTCCACCCACTTTCCCCCTCATTTCCTACCTACCCGCGAACCCATTTCCTCTCTGCTCCACCGCAACCCACGCCTCGCCTTCCTAGACCGTGCACACTCTAACCTGTCCAATCCACATGTGTGTGTGCCATGCTCCATGCTCCATGCTCCATGTGCCATGCTCCATGCTCCATGCTCCATGTGCCATGCTCCATGCTCCATGCTCCATGTGCCATGCTCCGAGCAGGACGGTAGCATACCCACGGATGGCACGGGTCTCATCCTGGCGTCTGCAGTGCCTCCCATAGAGGTCGCATCAGGAGTCGCCTACCTGCCTGCTGCTGCTCCCTCCCCTTCCCCTCCCACGTCCGCCTCCGCACCCTCCACCTCCCCGCCGTCCGCTTCCCCGGTCTCCTCTTCTCCACCCTTCTCCTCCTCCTCTCCTCCCTCCGCCTCGCCTCCTTCCTCCTCTCCTTCCTTCGCCACTCCTCCCTCCTCGTTCCCCTCCTCCCCCTCGCCGTCTCCCAGCCAGGTGCGTCCTTGTTCTCTCCCTTGTTAGACATTTCCTCTCTCATGTCCCCCATGCATCCCCATGCATCTCCCTCCATCCCCATCCATCCGTTCCTGCGACTCCTCCATCCATCCTCTCGCCAGCCACATTCCATGCACTACCCGGCACTGTATGCATTGCACTTCCTTTTTGAGGCAAACGCATCATTCTGCTCTGCGTCTTTCCTTCCGTTGGATCGGATCCGATCCAATCTACCGCTTTCTCTCGCGTCTTGCCATCTGTCATCTGCTCTCGCTTTCTCACCCTCATGCTCTCCCCCTCTGAATCCTCCTCCTCTTTCCCTCTCCCCCCCTCTCTCTCCTCCCTTGTCCCCACGCCCGTCCTCTCGCCAGCAGTCATCGCTAGCAGCAGCAGTGGCACAGCCAGCAGTGCTGCAGGTGCGGGGGTATCTCAACGGCATGCTATTCAAGGGCACGTTGCTTCTAGTCACGCAGGTGAGGCAGGGAGATGTTTAGGCACTTAGTGGTTCTGCTGCCAGTGGAGTGGGGGGGGAATCAGCTGCTGCTGCAGGTGTGGGGGTATCTCAACAGCATGCTATTCAAGGGCACGCTTCTGCTTGTCACGCAGGTGAGGGCGCAGGGAAGTGAAGCCGGTGAGGTTGTGAGGAGTGGGAGGCGGTGAAGAGGCAAGAGTACATTTTTGAGGCGCCTGGACAGTGTCCAATTGTGCTGTGTCGTGGCTACTTGTATGAAGGCTTCTGACTGTGTGCAAGCATTGGCATAACCATTTGCGACTGTGGGGCTGTGAGGCAGTGAGGCTGTGAGGTGGTGTGGTGTTGACGAGGCTGTGAGGCTGGGAGGGATGTTGCAGGGAACAAGTGACCTCATTCATTAGTTCTAGCTTCACCTCTTCTAGCTTCACCTCTTCTAGCTTCACCTCTTCTAGCTTCACCTCTTCTAGCTTCACCTCTTCTAGCTTCACCTCTTCTAGCTTCACCTCTTCTAGCTTCACCTCTTCTAGCTTCACCTCTTCTAGCTTCACCTCTTCTAGCTTCACCTCTTCTAGCTTCACCTCTTCTAGCTTCACCTCTTCTAGCTTCACCTCTTCTAGCTTCACCTCTTCTAGCTTCACCTCTTCTAGCTTCACCTCTTCTAGCTTCACCTCTTCTAGCTTCACCTCTTCTAGCTTCACCTCTTCTAGCTTCACCTCTTCTAGCTTCACCTCTTCTAGCTTCACCTCTTCTAGCTTCACCTCTTCTAGCTTCACCTCTTCTAGCTTCACCTCTTCTAGCTTCACCTCTTCTAGCTTCACCTCTTCTAGCTTCACCTCTTCTAGCTTCACCTCTTCTAGCTTCACCTCTTCTAGCTTCACCTCTTCTAGCTTCACCTCTTCTCGCTTCACCTCTTCTCGCTTCACCTCTTCTCGCTTCTAGAATCACTGAACGTGCAGTCAGGGGTGTAGTGGTGTGGTGCAGTGCGGTCGGGAGAGAGAGAGCATGGTGAAGGTCACACCTGACCGGGCACTGCTGCTCGCTTGCACCTCTCCCCTCCCCTCCCTGCCTCTCCCCTGCAGTCCCCTGAGTCACTGAACCTGCAGCCAGGGGTGAAGATAGTGGTGCGGGAGAGCATGGTCAAGGTCACACACGCCTGACCCGGCGGCAGTGCTGCTCATGTTGCATCTCTATCCCCTCTCTCCTCTACCCACTGTCTGTCCCCTGCAGTTCCCTGACTCGCTCAACGTGCAGCCAGGGGTGAAGATAGTAGTGCGGGAGAGCATGGTCAAGGTGACGCCTGACCCGGTGCTGCTGCAGGCACGCGAGGGGGGCAGGGGGCAGGGCAGGGCCATGCCCGCTGTCAACAAGCTAGAAGTCAATGATACCAGGCTGGGCTGGGCTGGGCTGGGCTGGGCTGGGCTGGGCTGGGCTGGGCTGCTGGCTGTTCTGGGCTGTTCTGGGCTGTTCTGGGCTGTTCTGGGCTGTTCTGGGCTGTTCTGGGCTGTTCTGGGCTGTTCTGGGCTGTTCTGGGCTGTTCTGGGCTGTTCTGGGCTGTTCTGGGCTGTTCTGGGCTGTTCTGGGCTGTTCTGGGCTGTTCTGGGCTGTTCTGGGCTGTTCTGGGCTGTTCTGGGCTGTTCTTCTGGGCTGGGCTGGGCTGGGCTGGGCTGGGCTGGGCTGGGCTGGGCTGGGCTGGGCTGGGCTGGGCTGGGCTGGGCTGGGCTGGGCTGGGCTGGGCTGGGCTGGGCTGGGCTGGGCTGGGCTGGGCTGGGCTGGGCTGGGCTGGGCTGGGCTGGGCTGGGCTGGGCTGGGCTGGGCTGGGCTGGGCTGGGCTGGGCTGGGCTGGGCTGGGCTGGGCTGGGCTGGGCTGGGCTGGGCTGGGCTGGGCTGGGCTGGGCTGGGCTGGGCTGGGCTGGGCTGGGCTGGGCTGGGCTGGGCTGGGCTGGGCTGGGCTGGGCTGGGCTGGGCTGGGCTGGGCTGGGCTGGGCTGGGCTGGGCTGGGCTGGGCTGGGCTGGGCTGGGCTGGGCTGGGCTGGGCTGGGCTGGGCTGGGCTGGGCTGGGCTGGGCTGGGCTGGGCTGGGCTGGGCTGGGCTGGGCTGGGCTGGGCTGGGCTGGGCTGGGCTGGGCTGGGCTGGGCTGACTTTTAGACGTCTCAAAATTCATGGGAGGGAGGCAGGGGGCAGGGCAGGGCCATGCCCACGCTGTCAACAAGTTAGAAGTCAATGATACCAGGTGGGGCAGGGCTGGGTTGGCTCCGGTTGGTTTTGATGCAAAGATATCTGCTGGATTTTGTGAGGCTGAGTTGGTTTGGTCTGGACAAGGGGGGGTAGGGTACGGTGGGGTGGGGTGGGTTGGGGTGGGGTGGGGCGACACGAGCAGCAAGACGCGCCATCAGAAGCAACATTCAACCGCACGCTGCTTTGAGTTAACTCAAAACTGCCAACCCCCTACCAACCACCTCTCCCTCTCCCCTCCTCCTCTCTCCCACGAGCAGCAAGGCGCCATCAGAGGCAACATTCAACCGCACGCTGCTGCTGCTGCTGGTGGCTTTTGAGACGACTCAAAGTCCTCCCCCTCCGCTCCCTCCTCCCCTCCCACCCATCCCCTCTCTCTCTCCCACGAGCAGCAAGGCGCCGTCAGAGGCAACATTCAATCGCACGCTGTTGTTGCTGCTGGTGGCGTGCGGGGTGCCTCAGGACCTCTTCCTCTCCCTCGCGCGCCAACTGTGCAACGAGGCCATGGCCCTGCCCTCCGACCGCCTCGCTGCTTCCAAGTGTGCGCGCCTGGTTGCAGGGAGGAGGGAAACGAACAGAAGGATGGAAAGGGGATCGTTAGAAGGGTTGTGGAGGGAGGTGTGCTTGTTTGCTGTGCTTCTGCTGCAAAAGACGTGGATATCCTTGACAGATATCCTTGACAGATATCCTTGACGGATATCCTTGACAGATATCCTTGACAGATATCCTTGACAGATATCCTTGACAGATATCCTTGACAGATATCCTTGACAGATATCCTTGACAGATATCCTTGCCATGTGTGGGAGCCGCATGTTCATGATGCTCTCTTATGGTCGTTGTGTGCTTGCCCCTGTCGCCCATACCACTCATATACCTCGCGTGTGCTTGTATGTGTACCGGCATGCTCTGCCCCCATGCCCCCTGCCCCCACGTCCCCTGCCCGTATGCCCGTATGCCCGCATGCCCCCATGCCCCCATGCCCCCATGCATATTCCGGGTCCCATCAGACATACTGCGCAGTGTGAGCAACCTGTCAGCATCGTACGCAGCGAGCTACGTCATGCAACCTATGCAGATGATCGCCAGTGGCATACCGCTATCTGAGCCCTACCTGCAGGATGCACTGCACAGGCGTGTCAACAAGGCAGCAGAGGTGGGTCTTGTGTGACCTCTGTTGTGTGTGTTGCAGCCGCTGCAAATGCTCGCCAGTGGCATCCTGCTATTCGAACCTTACCTGCAGGATGCACTGCACAGGCGCCTCAACAAGACAGCCGAGCCGAGGTGCGTACATCACGTGTGACGGTCCACCCACAACCATTGTCAGCCATCTCAATTTCTCTCCCTCTTCCTGTGCACCCTCTCCTCTCCGCCGCCCCATCACCCCACTTCCCATCCCCAGTCGTTAGAGAAGGGGCACCTGCCAGCGGACCGGTCGTACTATCTCATGGGAGTGGCGGACCCCACTGCTACTCTGCTGCCCGACCAAGTCGTCGTGCTGCTGTACGGGCCCTCTTTTACCCTCTCTCTTGCCTGCACTCTTGCCTGCACACTGGCTTGCACTCTTCGTGTGCCGTTGCCTATGCCCTCTCTTGCTTGTGCCTTCTCATGTTAGTACCATGTCTTGAAAGTTGGTCTCTTAGCTCCCCGCTTCCTTCGCCCCCCACTCCCCACACCAGCAAGGACGGACCAGTGACAGGCCCCTGTCTCATGTCCCATAGCCCATCGCTGCACCCGGGGCACCTTGTACCTTGATTTACGCTGCTTATCAAGTTGGTCCCCCCCCCTCCCCCTACTTCTCCTCTGTACCAGCAAGGACGGCCCGGTGACAGGCCCCTGTCTCATGTACCGCAGCCCGTCCCTGCACCCGGGGCACCTGCGGATGATGAACGCCGTGCACTCGCCAGCCATCGCGGCGCTGCTGCCCCCCGGCGCGCACTACTGCGTCATCTTCCCCGTCACCGGCCGGCGATCCGTGGCGGATACCATGAGTGGGGGCGACCTGGATGGGGACAAGTTCATGGTGTGCTTCCACCCGCAGGTGAGGAGAGAAGGGTGATCCTCTCATAATCTTATTTCATGCCCAGGTGAGAGTGGGGTGGGGTGGGGTGGGGTGGGGTGGGGTGGGTTGGGGGCATGCAAGTGCCACATAGCACCGTTGTTGACACCGAATGGTGGCGGCACTATGAGTGGGGGCGACCTGGATGGAGACAATGGTGGTGTGCTTCCACCCGCAGGTGAGGGTGTGGGCTTGTGTGGTTCGGGTGTAGGCTACGCATGGCCGCCTATTCTGACTGGGGGTGGCTTCTGAGTGGGGGTGACCCTGAGTGGGCGCAACCTCCCGTGCGTCTTCTCCCGACGTTCTTACCTTACACACATGCCCAACCCAACCCCCAACCCCAACCCCTCAACTCCTAATGTCCTCTGCCAAACCCCCCCTTCTCCCCAACGCCCTGCCCCGTGCAGGTGACAGGTGCGTTCAAAGAAGTGCCTCCCCCCCGCACGGACTGTGCGTGGGAGGGTGAGTGCGGGGGTGAGGCGAGGCCACCGCGGCACTATGTTGGAAAAGTCGCGCCCAGCGCATTGTACGCAAGCGTATATACGCTTGCGTATAATGCGCTATACGCTGAATGCCTGACTTTGAAAGTCGCGAAAAGTACGCTGCCCGGGCAGCATAAAACTTTTACCGGGCAGAGGAAAAAAACCCCTCCAGGGGGGGGGAGGGGAGGTTGTACCATACTTTTTTGTTGGAAAAAACCTTACAATTTCAACTTCTCTAATCTAGCAACATGCATCTCCTACACTAACCTAGACCTGCAGAATAACTACTACTAACACTACAAACCTACATCTCCTACAACCCCCCCCGCCCTCCCCCCCAGCCACCATCCGCCCATGCCTACTCTCTACCCCACCCCCTACTCCCACCCTCTACTCCCCCCGTCCCTTCCTTCCTCCTCTACTTGTACTCATCCTCCAGCTCATCCTCCTCCCCCTCCTCCTCATCCTCCTCCAGAACCTCCTTGTACCCTTCCGGCAGGGGGGCCTCAGGGATGTTCCCCGGGAGAACCGTCACCCCATCAGGGCCCTTGTGCCAGTTGCGCACAATGTTCCAATTGTGCGCAACATACACGAGGTCCCGACACTTCTCGGACCCCAACCTGTTGCGCTTGGCAGTGTGTATCGACTCCCACGTGGCCCAGTTCCTCTCACACGCCGATGCGGACACTGGCTGAGAGAGAACGCGGCAGGCGAGAGAGAGCTGGGCGGGTGCGTTGAGAGAATGAACGAGAGAGATACTACAGATGACGGGAAACAGCTTACCTTATAGTCCACGATGTGGTTGAACCACCTACGCTGGTTGACGACATTCGTGTTTGTGTGTTGGAGTCGCGCGATAACATAGGGTGCAATGCGGTTCTGACTTTCCCACGTCCCAAATTTTGACAGGTGTGGGTGACAATGTGTTTGGGACGTGCGTACATTTTGAGTCGCGTCGCACATTCGCAATTCGTGCGCGACTTTACAAATCCGTTTTTTTTTCCGGTCAGTCCGAATTTTACCCAACGAATATACGTACGAATTGCGTACACCGTATATTCGTTAACGACTATACGGTGTGCGCTTATGGTTTCTGGCGACTTTTCCAACATCGCGGCAAGGCTGAATGCCCTGACCCGCACACACCATCCCTGACTGGCACTCAACCCACCACCATCCATCTCCCATACCCCCACCCCACGCTCCCGCACCCTTCCCTGCCCCGTGCAGGTGACAGGCGCGTTCAAGGAAGTGGCCCCCCCCGCACGGACTGTGCGCGGGAGGGTGAGCACAGGCAGAGCACCGGCACAGCTGAATGCCGCAGAGCTGGAGGGGCAGCTGCTGAGCATATGGGGTCGCCTCGCGGCTGGGCACAGGTGCGTGGAAGGGGAAGTGCCAAACAAATCACTTGTGAACAACAGGTATGTGGAGCTGGAAAAGAGGGAAACGAGAGAAAAGAGGGAGACGAGAAGAGGGAAAAGGGAAGAGGGAGAAGAGAAGAGGGAAAAGAGAAGAGGGAGAAGAGAAGAGGGAATAGAGAGAAAAGAGGGGACCTGCATGCATTGTACCTGAGCAAGCACGGTCCTTGAGACACCTCATCATTCCGCCCTCTCCTTGTTGCGTGTGGCAGTGTGACGGGGCGCGCATACAACCTGCATCTGTCATACCTGGACGAGCACGGCCCGCAGCATGAGTTCTGTGAACAGCTCATGCGCATCTATGAGCGTGCACTCGACGCACCCAAGACCGGCGAGCAGGTGAGTCGGTGCAGGACAAACAGTGAATCATTTATTATTGAGTGAGTTGACGAGTGCTGGAAACATGGCCTGGGGCACGAGTGCTGTGAAGTAAGCAGCTTACACGGTGGTGTCTCTGAATCTAAACTCCATCTCTGTCGCCCCTACCCCCTTCCCCCCTACCCAATTCCCTCCCTCCCATCAGGTGTCCATCCCCAACTACCTGGAGCGCACGCGGCGCCCACACTACACGGGGGTGCAGGACCAGGCCGCTGCTCTCTCCCACCCTGTTTCCTCTTACCCCTGCCTGATTCCTCTTTCCCCCGCTCAACCTCTCCTCCCCCATCAGGTGTCCATCCCCAACTACCTGGAGCGCACGCGGCGCCCACACTACACGCTGGTTCCTTTGGACTCGCTCTCTCCCTGCGCTACCCCATTCCCCCAACCTCTAACCCCTCCCTCCCTCCCATCAGGTGTCCATTCCCCACTACCTGGAGCGCATTCGGCGCCCACACTACATGGAGGCTGCGGCTCCTGCAGGGTCGGTGTTCCACTCGCGCTCCATCATGGGGCAGATCTACGACCTCGTGCAGCAAGCCAGGGTGACTCCATCAGGTGAGCTGGGTGCTTCTGTGTGCTACAGTCTGTGAAACTTCCGTGTGCGGGTGTTGTGTGTTCCACTCGCGCTCCATCATGGGGCAGGTCTACGACCTCGTGCAGCACGCCAGGGTGATGCCATCAGGTGAGTTGGGTGCTCCTACACGTTAGGCTGCTGCTGCTGCTGCTGCTGCTGCTGCTGCTGCTGCTGCTGTGGGCACCGTTTAGAACTTCTGTGTTCCCCTGGGCTCGTCTCACCACTTTCGCAGCAGTGACTAAACAAGAATCCTTTACTGCATATGTTGAAAGCAGGCCTGTCGAAGTTTCTGGGGCTCGTACTTGCGCTCCCCAGCTCCTCCCCATCTGACCCTTGGTTGGGTGTAGGTGAGCGTTTTGGCGCCCTTAACGGTCACAGGCGCATCCCAAAGTGAAAACTTGAAATCAGGGCATGTGAGTAGTTTGCACTTACACTGTAAACTGTGGCCAGCTCGTATTGGACGCTAAGGGAATGTTCGGGTGCTCCAAGGCTGACTGAGACACACTACACACATGATATTGGCTAGAAAACGCGAAGGGAAAAATCCCCTCCGCGCGCTCTCGTGCAGGCTAAGGAGAAAGAGGGGGGGGTGGGGGTCCTACGATCGGAAACCAAAACTTAGATAAAGGGGAAGGCCTGGTTTCGTCCCTTAACGCATCCGGGGAAGGGTCGAACGAAGCACTTAGTGGCACGGGTGGGGTGCGAATCTAAAACTTGACGCATTGGAGCTGGAGCAAAACTAGCCCTTAATGTTCAGGGCATTAAGGGCATATGCCCGTCAATCGACAGGCCTGGTTGAAAGCAATTGCTGTCTTACCATTAGATCCCCCATCGGCCTGTCGTTCACCCTCCTAACCTCTCCCCTCCAATTCCCCCGTGCGCCCGCCCCTCTCCTGCATCCCCCTTAGAAGCCGACCCACTGGCAGCATACGAGCTCGACCCTGACCTGATTCTGACCCAGTCGCGTGCGCCGTCGGTTGATCTGACGGAGAAGAAGGCCCTGGTGAAAGTGTGGAAGGGGCACTGGCACGAGTACAAGCAGAGCATCTCTAGCATCTACTCCCGCAACCTCTCGAACAAGCAGCGCGACCTGCAGATGCAGCTGCAGAAGGAGCACTACCGCAAGGTGAAAGACGGTGTGGTGGGTGTTTGTTGTTGCGTGGTGTGGTGTGTCGTAGTTGGCTAAGAAAGCAGATGCAGCTGCAGAAGGAGCACTACCGCAAGGTGACAAAGAGGGCGTGTGGGTGTTTTTTGTTCAGTGGTGTTTTTGGGGTTTCTTCTAAAACACGTGCAGCTACTGAGAACTGGCACAAGGTGGAAGGGAGGGCATACAGGCATTGTGAGCAGGGTTGTAGATGCAATAGAGCTCTGATTGTTGTTACCTCCCTCCCCGCCTCCTCGCTTCCTGCTCAGCTTCAGCCGTTTATTGATATATATTTTTTTTACCCCATGGACTTTTCCCCCATGCAATCTCTCCTGCAGATTCTATATGAAGGCTGGTCTCCGTCGTTTGAAGAGCCATGCGCGCCGATCAGACTGCTGCGGAGAGCCAGTGTGATTTATGAAGTAGTCTACAGTGCTGCCCGGCAGAAGGCCACCAGGCAAGTACAGGAGACGTCACAAAGGGGTACAAGCGCTCCGGACGATGCTCTCCACTATAGGCCAGCGCTGGCGTTTGCATGGAACGTTGCTGGGGAGTTGTTGTGTGAGATCAAGGCGAGACGCAGTGGGAAGTGGTTTTTGGCTTCTCAGAAGCAGTTCCTGCTCATGTCTATGCCGGGAGGGAGGCATGGGAGGTGGGGTGGGGGAGAGGGGGGTGTGAGAAGGGTGGTAACGGTGGGACCTGAGGGACGGGTTGTCGTGATTGCTTCGCAGCAAGGGGATGATGGGGATGAGGGGAGTGACGGCTGTGAGGATTAGGATGGGTGAATGGTTAAATGTGAACTTGTGAGATGTGAGATGATGTTGAAATAAGGCACAGTGTCAGCCGCAAGGCTGCCTGATGTTTTTTTGCTTGCAACAACACCCCTGGTGATGTTTTTGTTCTTATTTCAAAGTTCTTCCTTAGAAAGTATATTACGTATTTTTGGATGTAATTTCTGGAACAAGAATTTACATCGAAGCTACATTGCGCCGGTCCTGGTTCCCCCCCAAGTCCGCGCGTGGCACTCAAGGAGGCGTGAAGACGCAAACTGATGCCCCAAGCCACACGGCATCACTCCGGAGCGCAAGCCGACAACCTGGAAGTGGTTGTCGCGACGTCCAGCGCAGCACTACAGCGCATCAGCCGTACACTGCTACAGTGTACCCATCACTGATCATCAATCACATCGTCGATTCCCTCCCCCTGCCTGCCTAACCCTGCCTCCCCGCGCCACTTACTCCAACCATGCACGTCCCTCCAAACCGACCTGAACCACCGATATTCTCCTACTTAGTCCCCACCAGATCCCTTGCACCCCCTGTTTCCGCTACCCCTTTGCGGCCTCCCACAGTCCCTCCCGAGTCTACGGCCTGACCTCGCCTCATTGGTTTCTTCCAAACCGAACCAGGGTTCACGCACTCAAACCTAACCCTGCCTCGGTTTTGTCGCGGGCAGAGCAGCAGAGTCGTGTCGTTCGTGGGATATGCCCGTCCCTTCCCTGATTCCTCCCCCTGAGATTGTCGTGCGCACGCAAGGCCGATGGCAAATCAGTGCACAGTACAGAACATCAGCGAGGCTCCTTGGGATTGCTCCATACCGTACCATCGTCGCACACCTGGCTACCTCAACTCCCTCTCAACTTCCCCTCCCACACCCATTTCTATTATTTGTTGCGCTCTTCTACTACTAGCGTAAAAATTTCCCCCTTTACTATTCACCTCACTGCTGTTCTGTACGCCGCCTTCCGCTAGTGTGACCTATCGCTTGTCTTCCTGTGAAGGTAGACCTGTTGTCGTCGACTTTTTATTTTTATTCTAGTTTACTTTCCCCGCTGGTTGCTGCAGCTAGCGAAGCTGGTTCTGCTTGAGCAATATTTTATTTGTTAGGCCTGGTGCGTGCACCAGGGATACCAAGCGTTGCCTCCGGGGCCTGGTGCATGTAAACGAAGCTCGCGATCGCATCAGCGCCTGCCGTAGTGCGCACGTGAGGGTCGCTCGGTCGCGCTATGGCGAGCGGAGGCGGCGGGAGGGCCAGGGCCGATTATGACTATCTTATAAAGCTGCTCCTGATAGGCGATAGCGGTACGTTGCGCGTGTGCGATCCTCTGCTCCTTCTCCATTTCTAGAGAGAGAGAGAGAGAAAAAGAAGAAAAAAAGATGTAATAGTATATCTTAGAATGCCCCGATGGCGAGGCGACAACCGCCTTCCCCCCAACTCTCCTCGCATTTTCTCGCATTCCCTTCCGCGCCGAGTTTTTCGCCTTGGCATGTCAATCACACTCGCGCTTAGCACTCGTCAACCCATGGCGTCGTATGTCCCGTGCAATATTCAACTCCGTGCATACCCTAGTTTTTCCGGTCGCTCCCTTTTCACCCCGCCTATTTCTTAAACACCGTTCCTATCTTCTTCGTCGTTTTACCCTCGGCGTTTCGCGTGTCACGGCGCGCGTGACGGGCGACGCGCGCAGGTGTGGGGAAGAGTTGTCTGCTGCTGCGATTCTCCGACGACTCTTTCACCACGTCCTTCATCACCACCATCGGGTGCGTCTTTCAGCAATGTTTCGAGTCGACTCATAAGGTGTAGTTTGAGTCGACTCAAAACACACCAATTTTCCGACGACTCTTTTACCACGTTCTTCATCACCACCATCGGGTGCGTCTTTCAAAAATGCAAATTATGCAATGTGTCTCTTGAGTGCTCGATTGTCTTTAGCCCCGCCGGGTCAGTAATTTGCGTGAGTTTTGTTCGTTCAACCACCAATGGGTGAGTGACTCTACTAAGTGTGCTTCCCGAAAAAAAAGACCAAACGTTTCTTCCATTCGTGTCCCATAAGATGCGCGTCTCTGCCCTTCGCGGGTCTTCATCCTATGCACCGACATAATATCAATCTCTCTTTTTTGTCTGACGCCAACGTACCTGCTAACGCGCTTCGCTCTTCCACCTGCATTCCTTGCGTTACTTCCCTACAGCCAGTCGCTTTCCGATCCCCCCACCGCTGCCTCCCTCTCAACTCCCCGTCTCCCGCCCTTCCCCCCACCCTCTCCCCACGCTGCGTCCCTCCCGTTCCCCCCCTCCTCCCCCCCCGTGTTTTGGCGTGCGCGCGTCGGGCGGCAGCATTGACTTCAAGATCCGCACGATCGAGCTGGACGGCAAGCGTATCAAGCTGCAGATCTGGGATACCGCTGGGCAGGAGCGATTCCGCACCATCACCACTGGTGCGCGGGGATGGAGGGGAAGAGGGGGGCGAAGGGGGGGAGAAGGGGAGAATGGTTGAGAGAGAGGGAGAGATGATGGGGGAGAGAGGTATTCTGTGACGAGTGGTGTGGTTGTATTTCAATGTGAAGATTAAGAATGCGGGGGACTGCAGGGAGGAGAGAAGTCTTCGCAAAAGCACGGGTGTTATTGGGGCGAGAGCTGGGGAAAGGAAACAGGATCGCGGGGGGGGGGGGGTTGGTGCGTAAGAGTTTTCGGGTGTGCAGAAGTGGAGACGGGTAGTCGTAAGGGGTTGGTTGGGGCAAGGTGGCGTGTATGTGTTGGTGGGCCTGAAAGAATGAATAATTGGGGTTGGAAAGATGAGCTTATGGTGTTGGAAGCATCAAGGGGTTGATGGGTAGTGGTTGATTGATGAGTTGTGATGTGCCTGCACTACTCTGTGAAGTGAGCACACGAGCTCATTGTGTCTCCCATGTGTCACTGCCTTGGCATGGCATGGTGCGGCATGGTGTGGCGTGAGATGGCATGGCATGGCGTGGCATGGCGTGGTGTGGTGTGGTGTGGCATGGCATTTACACGGCGTGGCGTGGCATGGCAGCATACTACCGTGGAGCCATGGGCATTCTTCTGGTGTATGACGTCACCGATGAGTCATCCTTCAACAGTGAGACTCATGGCAGACGAACCCTTGTTTGCCCTCTCAGGCTTTCACTGCCTGATATGATGGTCCAGTGCTTCAAATCGTGTGTATTGTCTACTTGTATTGTAGGAGTTTTTTTTTTTTTTTACTCTGCCCTACTTTGCCCTTTCATCGCCCTCCACTTTTTACCAGTGCTTTTTAGAGTGCGCACTGGGTATATCAGTGCTCGCAAGTCTCTGATTTCTATGGAACACCAGCATGAGTCTTTCCGTCATTTCTTCTATGTATCACTGCCACATACTGCTACACAGTTGCACCACTCGCTCCTCCTCACATGTTCATCCATACACTTCCCCTCCGTGTATCCCCTCCTTCCCGCTGCCTCGTGCTTCCCTCCCTTCCCCTCCCCTCCCTTTCTCTCTCCGGCCATGTGATGCGGTGCGGTGCGGTGCAGACATCCGCAACTGGATCCGCAACATAGAGCAGCACGCATCGGAGAATGTGAACAAGATTCTCGTGGGCAACAAGGCAGACATGGACGAGAGTAAACGGGTACGCACACTGCGCACTCTCGCTCTCACTCACTCGCTCGCTCGTTTTATCTCTTTTTTCTCACTCTGATCACCTGCTCTCTTGCTCGGCTTGGCCTCTTAGCCGTGAACTCGTATATTTCATCACTCTGATTGTTTATCCGTCCCTTACCAACCTACCCCACCCCCCAACCCCCCCTTCCTTCGTCCCCCCACACACATCCCCACGCACGTGCACGCACGCATGCGCGTACGTGCATTGTCGTTGCTCCCCTTCCCTTCCCTTTCTAAATGCTCCCTTCATCCCTCTCTTCCAACCTTTTCCACACCCTCATCCTCTCTCCTCTCCCCTGCCTTACTTCACGTAGGATTAATCTCACCTCCCTCTCTATCTTCTGGCGTCCCGTTATCTTCCCTCCTGCCTCTCTCTGATGTCGTACGCCGCTGTTCTGGACTATAACCCTAAACAGGCAGTGCCAGCAGCTAGGGGTCAGGCTCTTGCAGACGAGTTTAACATCAAGTTCTTTGAAGCGGTGAGACATGCACACATGCACGTATGTACACACATTCACACACATATTCATTTGCACATGCAGATGCACATGCTTGTGCACATACACACATGGACAGTTCACATGCACATATCAACATTCACGTGCAGGCATGCATACAAACGCATGCAGTGCTGCCGCAACCACCCATCCCTTGATCTTACAGATGTTGAAAATTGCCTCATTTCATTGACTCACTCATGCACTCACTCGCTCATGCTCACCCACTTGCCTGCCCGCCCACCCGCGTGCATGCATACATGCACACACACGGTCGTGTCGTCGTGCTACAGAGTGCCAAGTCGAACCTGAATGTGGACAATGTGTTCTTCACCATCGCACGCGACATCAAGCAGCGCCTGGCAGAGAGCGCAGAGGACAGGCCCGAGGTACCCACACACGCACCCCCCCCCCCCCCCCCCAGACACACACACACAAACACACACTTGCACACTCAAACACACACACTCTCGCCTCCCTCCCTTCCCTCCTCACTCGTTACCCTCTCCTCTCTTGTGCTTGCGTTTTCAGTCCTTCCATCGCTGTTCATTCCATGGTCCGTCCACTTGTTCTTCATTCTATGGCGGTGTCTGTCTCTAGCTCGTCACATCACCCCCTTGCGGCATGGCATGCATCTCTGACGTGTCTGTCCTCGCATGGATGGACCCCATGTTGTGGCACCCCCTTGTGCGGCTGGACAGTGCTGTCACACTCAGGCACTGCACAACGTCGCATACGCACCTGCACTGCACATGCACTTGTAGCATACACCCACCTCCTATACCATGACCTTTTATCTCCCCTTCACGCACCAACACTCGTCAACTTTCCTGCGTGCCTCCCCAATATGTCATGGCCCAGCAACAAGCCAAGGCCAACATTGTCATTTCGGATACCAAGAAACCTGCCAAGGCCAAGGGGGGCTTCTGCTAGTTGTGATGCACGGTGGAGGGTTCTGCTGGTGTGGTGGCAGGTGGTGTTGAAGATGGGGGATTTGTAGTGCTGGTTGTTTTTGGTTGACTCTGGTTCGGGACGGGACAAGTGCAGCAGGCGAGAGGAGGGAAGGGCAGGGGACTGTCTGCCAGAATGCTCGGATTGTCTGATTGGTGGAGTTATGGTGGTAGTACTGATGTGCCCTGAAAGGTGGGGTTTTTTTTGGGAATAGCAGAGTGGGAGGCAGTGGGGAGAGGCTGACGTGAGGGGTTTTATTGGAAGGCTTAGCGACTGCGGACAGAGTTTTTGTGTTACCCAGGGGATGGTTCATCATTGCGCTGCGCAGGCTCAGGTGTGAGCTCATCACAACCGAATTGGCTTGCGGTGGCTATTGAGAGGATGAAGCTGTGGCGTTTCAGTGGGGCGGGGAACTACTGCTATGCTGCAGCCATTCAAGAAGTTTTCTGGGTCTGGGTTCAGGTATTGTATCAGAAGTGTTTAGGATAATAATGTATGGACTACCGTAGGAGGGTGTTTCCAAAACGTTTTTATGCTGCGGATCAGCGGGGTGTACAGAGTCATAATCAGCTATCCTTGATTCAACGTGAGATCATAATGCTTGGTGTTTGTGATATAACTTCCACAGCAGTATCATTTAGATTTTCCATTGGAAAAGGGAGGCTGTTCTATCGGGATGTTCTTTAGGAGGTCACTTCCACCAGGAACACATGCGCGGGGTCAGCGCGGTTCACACACAATTCATTCTGAGGGATTCTTCTCGTTTCGTCACGGTTGAAAACGGTTAATATCAGGAAACCGTTTTGAGCCGTTTCTAACCTTAACCGTTTCTAAGCGAGGAGGAATACAGGTGGGTTGCAAGCGTGGCATCATCCACGTGACCGAGGGGTTCTGGCCACGGAATTTTGACACCTCAACAGTTAGCCCCAACCAGATCGGCAACCAGACCAACCAGCGCAGCACATTGCCAGTCACCCTCATCACAACCTGCCCGAACCAATCCCACACTCTCGACACGTCGTCAGTCACTTTCTGAGGGCAGGAGCGCTTCTCCAATTTCCGCCCTTCATTTCAGCAACCAAGATCCGCCCAGTCATCACCTGTTTCCCTCGATTCTATCACCCTCGAAAAACCATCCACCAATCCCTGACCCAACCAACCCAAGGTAATCCTGAAGTTGCCCGAATCGGCTCCAGCTCATTCCAAGCCTGACCTTTCTAAACCCCAAACCTCGCAAGCCTCCCAAGCCTCACTTTTCTTGGGACTTTCTTTTCGCGCCACTTTGCTCTGCCTTGTGCTGCTGCTGCTCCTCCTCCGGCACTGCCCCTCCCGCCGCTCTTTCTTTCCCTTCACTTTCAACCATGGCTGCCACCACATTGTCTGCCTCTGTGCACGTTGCCGCCACTGCCGGATCCGCGCTGCAATCGTCCGCCGTCGCCAAGCCGGCCGCTGCCCGCTTTGTTGCGAAGCCCGCGTTCGGTGCGTCGCTCGAGTCGAGGGATCTCGCCGGAGCGCGTTTGGTGACACGTGAGGCCGGCGCTGCCAGGAATGCGGCCATGTCCCCGTCGGTCGCGCGCGCAGGTGCGGGTTTCTGCAGCCGTCGCTGCCGCTGTTGTCGCTGCTGCGTGCCTCGCCTCCCTTGTCGTTATCTTTCGTCTGCGCTTCGAATGGCACGCGTCTCGTCCACGTATCTCCGCCTGTCTTTGTCGAAACGCCACTCCGCCGCTTAGCGCCTCCTGCGGGGAATGTCTCCAAGAAAGCGCGGCGCGAATACGGCTCGCGCGACGTAAGCCGTGTCGGAGAGGGGGATTCGCTCGATAGCTCGACTTCGCTGCCATGCGATTGCGGATTCCTATAAAAGCACACGCATTTCCGGTCGCCAGATTAGCAATTTTCTGTTTCTTCTTTGGTGCTCGAATTGCATATTCCTAGTCTATCGGTCAGCGTTTCTTGCGCGTCCCTCTCCCGCTGTGCCCTCCGTCATTGCATCTCGTTGACTAGTCCGTCTAGCCCGAGGCGCCACCTATCGCGGCGTGACATGCCGCCAGTTCTCTTTTTGCTCAGCATAAGCGGAAACGATATTATCTCTATATTAAACGCTACGTCACTCTTAATTCCCCTCATCGCCGTCCTCCCGTGCTCCCAAACTGATTTCCCCCATTCCGGCCCCGTTCTTCCCCCGCTCACCCCGTTTTCCCTCCGCAGCTCTTTCTCAGGACGACCTGAAGAAGCTCGCGGCGGAGAAGGTACGTGCGCGCGCACGGGGATGGGCGGAAAGTTGCGCGAGGGGGGAATATGGGTTGGGGGAAGAAGGGGGAAGCGAGGTGGAGGGTGTCGGGGGAGTGGCGGGCAATGCGGACGCAATGGGGGGTGGGGAAGGGGTAAGCGGGCGGTGGTGTGGACGGGTAAGGTTAAAGCGGAATCTGGGGAGATTTTTCAAAAACACCTTACAATGTACTAATAAGCTCGTAAAGAGCGACCTAACCAGCGCCCTGCTCTCTCCGCGCTTCCCCTGCGCTCCCCCCACGCTCTCCCGCGCGCGCCGCCAGGCGGTGGAGTACGTGAAGAGCGGCATGGTGGTGGGGCTGGGCACGGGGTCCATTTCCCTCTCCGGGTCTCACCTGTCCTCCCATCTGTCGGTCTCCCTGTTGCGCCCTACCATTCTCTCCCGCCCTCCCCCTCCCCCCAACCCCCGCGCGCGCCGCCAGGCGGTGGAGTACGTGAAGAGCGGCATGGTGGTGGGGCTGGGCACGGGGTCCACGGCCGCTTTCGCCGTCGCCAAGATCGGCGAGCTGCTCAAGGTGGGTTACCATCTCTCGCTCGCTTTTCTCATTCCTTTCAGCGTACGTGCGTGCGCTTCTGAAGACTTGCCAAATGGAATGCGAATCGAATCATAAAAATGATTCCTCCATTTCAGCCTTCCGCGTGCATTACGCGCATTTGCTCCATCCATCCATCCTTCCTTCCGTCCCTCCCTCCGTTGCTCGGTCGGTCTTT